TAATATATCAGGTGAATAATATAAAATAGAAATGTGTGCTGATGAAAAGGGACATCTAAGATATAATGTTAGGTGAAAAAAAGCAAACTGCAGAATACAAATAATTTTTTTTTCATGTGTATATAAAAACAATATAGGTGTATGTATGTATATATTAATATATCTATATCATATGGGATATAATTAATATATATCAATGTCTTTAAAATTTCTAGTCTCATACACAAAAACTATCTACAGTTATTGTTGAGAAAGATTAGAAGTTTAGCAAAGAAGACTTTCACTTTATTCTTCTTTCCATAGTATTTAAACCATTAAACCAATTATTTATGAAGAAAAAGTATTTATTAAAATCCTTAAAATATCTATAACTTTTGAACCTAAAATTGCTCTTTTTGTAACCTATTCTAAGGAAATAAATATAAGTTTGAAATAGCATGGGTTAAAAAATACTAATTTAAGTACTAATAATAATAATGAAAGTAGGAAAAATATCAATATCCTACAATAGCCAAATGGTTAATATATAAGAGAACCACAGAATGAAATACCTAGACATTAAACATGTTCATAAAAATTGCATAACAACAGGGAAAATGATAATGGCATGACACTAACATATAAACCAGAATACATTTTATAAAAATGCAACAATGGAGCTAGGTTTAGAACTAAAAACTCTGGCCAAATATTGAAAGTTATTTTTGTGTGTCTGCTAAGCCTATGAGTAATTATTCAATCTATCTCTTTCTATTTTATAAATGATATTTCATGTCTATGCATTACATGGTTATGAGAACTAAACATTGATAAAGAGAATTAGCACATATATTAGAGCTTAACAAAGATAAACAGTCTCAGAAGGGACCCAGAATACCAAATGCAACCCTGGGTAACAAAAGCAAAGCAGGAAGCAGATTGGAATCCCAGATTTGAAATTATATTACAAAGCTACTATGATTAAAAACAACACAATACTGGCACAAAAACAGACATATGAACCAATGGAACAGAATAAATGAAGCAGAAACAATCCCAGGCACATTCAGCTATTTGATCTTTGACAAAGGGGCCAAAAACATACATGGATGAAAGAGAATTTAATATTTAATAAATGGTGCTTAGAAAATTAAATACCTACATGCAAATATTTAATCTATACCTATATATCTTATGGGTACTAAACTAAAATCAGAATGGATCAAAGATTTAACTGTTGAAACAAAAACAGTTAACTGTGTGGAAGATACAGGTGTAGGCAAGGACTTTCTGAAGAGAATCTCAACGATAAAAAAAATAATACCAAGAAACAAAGGACATATGGGATCATATCAAATTAAAAAGCTTCTGGGATTCAATCTTACCCCAGAAGGACTGGCCATCATCAAGAAAGCAAATAATAACAAATGTTGGTGAGGTCGCAGGGAAAAAGGAACCCTTCTAAATTGTTGGTAGGAATGTAAACTAGTACAACTACTGTGGAAATCAATATGGAGATTCCTAAAAATACTAAAACTAGAAATTCCATTTGACCCAGTTATTCCCCTTCTGGGTATCTTACAAAAGATTTAAAGACATCATACCACGGTGACATATGCATTTCCATCTTTAGAGCAGCACAATTCATTATAGCCAAATCTTGGAAGTGGCTTTTATGTCCATCAATAGATAAATGGACAAAACTTGTGGTATTTAAACACAGTGGAGTATGAATCTGCTGTAAAGAAAGATGAACTTAAGTCATTTGTAGCAAAATGGATGCACTTTGAGATAGTAATATTAAGTAAAATGAATCAACCACACAAGCTTAAGTTTCTCGTATATGAGAAACCCAAAATATACATAAAGAACAAAATAAACTATATGGGATAGGAAGTAGGGAGATCTTATTCAAATGAGAAGGGGAACAAAAGAAGAAGAGGGGAGAGAGAAAGAGGAGGGAAAGGGGGTTAAAAAAAGAATTGAAAAAAATGGAGATAGAACTTGTGCAAATAGGAAAAGAGCCAAGAGACGCGGTGGGGAAGGAACAAAAAGAGAAAAAGAAAATCTGGAAGCAAAGTCTTTGTAGATAGTGAGGGGGGAGGGGCTGAAGGGAGAGCAGGGGAAGGGGGAAAAATAAGCACCCAGATGGATTAGGTAAAGGTGCAAATTTCCAACGATGAATGTCAGTACATTGTATACCTTAAATGTACCAATATCATCAATTTAAAAAAAGAATTAAGATGTGTTATGGACATGTACTAACTTCCCATGGTAACTGTAATCATTATGCACTGCAAACATATACTAATAAAAACAGAAATTTAAAAACAAGATAAACAGTCCCACACTTTCCCATTGAGTTTGAACCCACCTGAGGAAAAAAAAAATGAAATGTTTTAAAATTATAGATGTTATCAAGTCAAATATACAGGTTTCCCAATGTATTTGAGAAAAATAATAAACTGAAATGCTCATCATTTTCCTAGCTCAAGGGAAAAAATTACTTTCAGCTAAGTGACAGGATCATGATACAACCTCTCCACTATTGTTATTCTAGCCAACAACTAAGTACAACTGACATATTTTGCGTCCTTCTTTATAAAAAGGTGTTTACTTACATGAGTCTGGCTAAGCAATTTAGTTTTTCAGTATAAATTTTAAAATGATAATGTCACTACTAATATGGAATGTTAACTCCCCTATCTTTGTGTTTTCTATGATGTGGATTAAACTCTGGCCTCACACGTGGTAGGTAGATACTCTACTACTGAGCTATACCCCCGTGCACCTTCACCTTTTTAATGAGCAGGTTGCCAAATTATGTAAATTGTCCATATTATATAGTATAACCTACCATAATTTAACAGTGAAATTTAAGATCAAAGATTAGAATTATTTTATAAAAGGGTTTCAAATATATCTTAATAAGAATTTTGAATCATACATGGCAAAGCCCTTTTGAAATTGTTCAGAGTCTGTTATAATTCTAGAGAAGAAGTTGACACACTTTTCAGGAAAGGCCTAGATAACGAATTTCTAGGGCCTTGTGGGCCATTTGAGAACATACAACACAAAGTCATTCTCATACATATCCTTCATGGAAACTTGCCAGGAGTCCTTAACCAACTGGAACTTCTCTTCCTTCAGCATTTTGTACATTCCCTGATTTTATGCATGGGTAGATACTGATCTCTGCCTAGTCACTGGTGGGTTAAGGCTTCTTCTCAATATTTTATGGGAAGAACTTGCCCTTATACATTTCTTAGTGACGATGGTGCCTCACGCATAGTATAAGGTTAATATCAACAGTTGACTAGAAAGCTATTCATACTCCCCATTCTTTGATGTAGACTCCAGTGGTTTAGCAGTAACTGTTAAGGGTCTAAAATAACTATAGACATTAAAAGAATTCATAAATTTTTAAAATATGGTAGAGTTTCATAATACAAAATTTTGAAAACATATTTTTCTCAGAATTAAGAAGGGTGACCAATGTGGAAATCCGTATGGAGATAACCTCAAAGAACTAGGACTGGAAGTCCCATTTGACCCAGCTATTCCCCTGCTGGGTATTTTCCCCAAAGAATTAAAAGAATCATACCACAGTGATATATATGCACCCATGTTCATAGCAGCACAATTTGTAATAGCTAAAATTTGGAAGCAGCCCAATTGCCCATCAACTGGAGACTGGATAAAGAAAATGTATTTTTTTCTATAAAATGGAGTACTACTCCACCATAAAAAATGAGAAATTTATAGCTAAATGGATGTACATTGAGCTGGTACTCTTAAATGAAATAAATACGACACACATATGTAAATACCAAATAGTTTCTCTAGTGTGAGAAACTGAAAGTGTAAATAAGGACTAAAAGGTACAATAGATAATGTGAAATAGGAAGAAAGTGGGCAAAGGGGAAGGGGAAGTGGAAGGGGTAGGGGAAAGGAAAGACGGGGATGGAATTAATATGAGAAAAGGAAAAAACGGAAATAAAGTCTTTGTAAATAGGGAAGGGTGGAGGGGTTGAAGGGAGGGCAGGGGAAGGGGGAAAAATAAGAACCAAGAGAGATTATGTAAAGGTGCCAATTTCCAATGATGAATGTCATTATACTGTATTCCTAAAATGTACCAGTAAAATAATATTAAAAAAAAAAGGGTGACCACTGCATTTGAACTTGGTTCTCTCACTGTCCTCTCAAAGGTAAGAAAAGCATGCAGCCTTCCATGGGCCAGAGATCCTGGGGCCTGTTTGCATACTCTTTAGACTTCCCATGTCCGATGGGACCATCTTGTACATGCAGGATCCCCAGGTGTCATGAAATAATGCAATTTCAGAGAAGAACACAAAGTGAAGTTTGGAATCCGGCAATTTTTATATTTTTATCTAAATCTAAATTTCGATTATATGGGTACAGTAGGAAATCTTTAGAAACTCTGGAGCTACTCAGCCTGAATTCAAATCCTCAGAAGTCCTGTCATTAGGTACTTGACAACTAACCTAACTTCTTCAAGCCATATTTATTTTCATCTGTAGAAAAAAAAGTGATGATACTAAAACCTACCTCAAGAGGAGCCTGGCCTGTTATAGGAAGCAAAGAGTTAATATATGTATTTAGAACCCCCTAGGACATAGTAAGCTATGGATACATAAACACACAGATAGCTAATAACAAGTAGCCTTGCAAGTATTCACCTCTAAAAAGCCACACACACCCTTGCATTCAGACATGCATTTCATTTTATTTGATTCTGGAGATGGAATCACCACAGGAGGAATTCACAGAAAAATAGGACACAGAATGTATGAATTATCAAGTAATTTTTAAAATGCAACAGAAGGAAAACAGCAAGCTGAACATACAAGTATGATTGTGTGACAAAGGGAGAAATGGAAAACATTGAATCCCCAGGTACCATCATCCTGGTTGTGTTTCCCAAGCTTCAGCAGTGCAATGGCCACAGTCAGCTTCCATGCATGAACACAATGGCAAGTCAACTCAGCGGCCTTACTTACCACCTCTGTCCCCCCCGGGGAGGCCAGCCTGTCTGTCTTCCACCTTAGCAGTGCTTCCTTCCCAAAGCTCGCTCTTATCCTTTTGCTTTTCTTCCTCACAAGCATGCTTCCTGGACTTCTCAGATAAATTCTCTGCCATTCCGTGGGTTCCTCTCTCCATTTCTTCATCAAGAATGTTCCTGCGGCTTTCCTCTGTTGGCAGAGGTTTGATCTCCACGTCTGCTTTTCTTATTTCTTGGTCTTCTGGTTCAGTTTCAAAGGATTCCTCAATGGGAAGGTGGGGTTTGCTCGGCTCATCATTTTCACTCAGCTCCACAGAAGATAAACTTCTGGACCCTTCGTCTGTACTGGGTTCAGCACGGGCTTCCCGGCCCCGATCCCCAGAGTCATCCTCACTGTCACTTGAATATGGGTGACTTCTGGAGGAGGCTGATGAAGCACTTCTAGTATCTATAAAACATAAAAATGGTGGCATCATTGTTGTTCTAAAGTAACAGGTTTAATGGTGGAAAATATGCTAGTATGTAATCATGCCAAAATTTTTAAAAATATAGTTTAACTTGATCTGACCCCTTTTCCCAATGTATTCCACATAATTGTCATGACAAAGGAAAATATAATCTCTGAACCATGGAAGTCTTTAACAATTGATCACATTTAACTCAAAAAAGCCCTATTGTTTTGATTTGCTCTTTGAAAGTCAGTTTATTGGAAAACCTTTGTGAATATCTGGTATGATACAGAAAACTTAATAAGCAACCCTTTGCTTTTACATTTCAGCAAGAGTGTGTATTTATGTGTGCTCTTGTATAGCATGAAACTTAATTTTTATCTGCTGTGATATTCACCATGTAATACACCCTAGGATCTGGTATGGTAAGATCTAAGATGGACACAGTATACACATTTAATAAATATTTTAAGTGATGCAAATGTGTGTGTATAAAAGGAGATGTTGTTTTACCTCAGGGTCCCCAGAAGCAAGGCATGGGATGCAGCTTCACGTGCAAGTGATATACTGAGGTCATGTTTCAGGAGAAACACTTCAGAGAGCAGGGCAAGCCAGGCAGGAAAGGAAAACAGTCAAGGAGCTATCTCAAGCAAGGATTCAACCTCAGTCTCATACTACAGAGATCTCTGATGTGTAAGTTATATTAGAAGGACATAAGTAAGTTAAGATGGAGCTGGGTTTTCATACTTTGAATCAGTAAGATACTGACTATGGGGCACCCCAAGGGGATGTAAATATCCCTACACTTCCTGGCTCCTTGTCCCTGAGGGTGAACTCTAGTAATCCAGGGCAGTCCTCTGAAGGGTATAGAAGCTAGGAACTGGGCACACAATGCCAGGTAAGAAATTGGAGTCATACATTGAGGTAGTGCTAAAGATACGCAGTCCAGAAACTTACAGTAATCAAAAGAGGTTCAGGTACTACACAAAAACTTTAAAAAGTCTCCAAGAATGTAACATACACATTACACTGAGTCTCTATAAGGAAGACACACAGCGCAGAAGTCACTGCATCCGTGGCTGTGGACCATAGAAGCAGAAACTTGCTTTTGCTTTTTTAAGCAATTGAGTTGTGTCTATAACTGTTTCTTATAGAATATATGTTCAGATAAAATAGCCTATATCTAAATGCTACCTACCTCCTTTGTTTTCTCTGTGTTCTTTACCACCCATTTTTCTGTTTCTTTGATTTCTGCATGACAGCTACACAGATGGCTGTAGCATTTACAGTAGAGTTTATGAAAAGAAATGCCTGTCTTTACCTTTAACCTTCTCCCTCTCTCTCTCTCTCGCTCTCTCTCTCTGACAGGTCTTGCCATTTTAAGTATGGTCACAGAGACATATCAGAGTTCCCACCAAGATTTGAGAGATACTAAACACAAGCAAAAATATACTTAAAAAAAAGCTACTGAGCAACAGACCCCCTTAAGCACAATTCCTAATACCTTGACAAGCACCAGGTGACCACTACTCTTCAAAGAAATCACACACTTTAGCTACACATTTTTTATTTTCCATTTTATAAAACCTAGATAGGCTGTTTTTGCGAGGATCATGGCAGATGAAGGAGAAGTATTCTCTATCTTATTTGTATCTGTTGAGAAAACTTAACAGTTCATGGTCTTGCCCTTTTGTAAGCATTTTATATTTACCTTTTAAATAAAGAAAAGCAACCTTTGTTTATTACTGGTTTAATCAATAGCTTTCATTAATGGCACAGTTGGCTAAGACAAAATGTTATGCTTGTTCTGAGCTACTGAAAATATATATACTACCAGAAGCTCCTTCATGCCTCCCACTTTTGGCTCTTGAGAGTTGTTCACATAATAAAAAATGAGCAGTCCTTTATCTTTCTTCCGTAGCTTTTATTAATTGTATTATTTTATTTCAAAAGGCTGACATGTGCTCTGGTTCAATTTTGAATCAGTCCTTCAGCCAGAAAAGATCAGAATGAATGGCCTTGAAGTGTTGAGGGCACCTGACCTCCCCATCAACTCATTTCAGTTTTCCAATTTCTCTCTCACCTCATGGTGTAATTTACTTTCAGTCTCATTTCTTTCTCTCATTTTCATACAGACAATGGAGTAAGATTTTGCTTACAAAAAAAGCTCTAAAAGCTTCAGGGCCCTATAATGGGATTTTCAAAATGACTTTTATTTATTCGCTTAGAAATGAAACAAATTTTCTATAAAAATATTCATATAAATGAACTTTTCTGGCGCATATGTAAATTTTGTCATTAGAGGGGAAACACTATCTTGGACATTTTTAGTAAACATCTCAGCTTCCTACCCAATTTCATTTGTCTCTCCAGTGTCCCTCCTGGTGCTGATGCTGAAAGAATTTGCTTCTTTCATTCTTTATTCATATTTTTTTGGCAAAACAAGACCTGCACTCAGCACCCAAGGCTTTCACCCAAAGCAGCAGGTTCAAAACCACTTTCTACGGCCTGAGGGGTATCTCTGACCTTTCTCTCTCCACATTCAGCCAGTCCCCATATCCTTCCCTTCTCATGTCATTAATAGCTGCTCATTGCTGACTGTTCCTTTTTTACATCACAGCAATCAAAATCTGATTTCACAGAACATGAAACTGACAAACAATAACATGTTCTTCTGAAACATAAACCTAGATGTGAGATTGGTTTTGCTATTTAAATTCTCCAAGCCTCTGTTTTCTGGGTAAAATGGAGATGATTCTACTTGCTCGCCACAAATCAGTGTAAAAAAATTACATGAGAAAAAGGTTAACCTAATCAAATTAAATGATCATTTCTTTATAGCTTGCAGTCTTCTATATTATACATATAGAACATGCTCATAAATTTACTTGTTATTCCATCCAGTATACATTATATTAAGAAGGATGTCACAGTTTCCACTTAATTAAGAAAAAATAATATGTGCTCACCTACTGTGTACCAAGCAGTGAAGTAAGTGTTTTACAACATCTCAGCCTATGGAACAGTTGTTGCCTTGTTTTCCAGATTAGGAAAATGAGGTCCAAAGATATCAAACATACTCAGAATCTATTAACTACGCAGCAGAAAGTTCAAATTCACTGTTTTGTCAATTAGCATCCTGTTCTTAACTTTATGTTTTGCTTTATTAGCCAGAAACCTATATAGACATCTCAATTTAACTGCAAAAAATCAAAAGGTAGATTAATTAAAATTTAGATCATCCCAATGATATATCACGAATCCCTACCCAATAAGCCCAATAGTCTTCTGAACACTAATAATAATCGAATCTCTCTTCTTAGTCTAAATGTTCTCTGCAAAATCTGAATAAGTAATGCTTCTACTTTCTTCAAATTAGCCATGGCACACAAATTTATATGCCCTCTACTTGTACACATATTTCTGTCTTGTTTATACTCGTAAGTTCATGAAAATCTGTTTATATTTTATATCAGATACTGGGGTTGAATCAATATCTTCACGTACAACAATACTTAGAGAAGTGCATCATACTCGACAAATATTGCAGAATGACAGTGTGCTTAATGAAAACAGAAATCATTAAATTTCAGGTGAGAATAGTAACTCGTCATTGATCATAGGAGAGAGCAGATGTCCCCACACAGATAATTATCACAAACTGAAATGCCTCAAGCCATCAATAAGAAAAATATACGCATTACTTTGTAAGGATACATATTCACAGGTAAATGCATATACAGCAGGAAGAAAAGAAAACATAAAGAAAGTGGAAAGTTTCCTTCATCGTTACTTTTAATTGTACTTTATAAACATTACAATGAAGTTCCAGTGTTGAGAACATATCCGATCATGTATCTATTGTGCCACATAAGCCTCCACACATTTGTTTACTCACACATCCAATCAGCCCTTCAATCCACAAGATTTCTCTGAGTGTCTAGGTGGTGCCATGATACATGTAAGACAGACTCAAAACTGTAGAGGAACGGTTCTTATAAAAGTATTTTATGTAAACTGAAGGATGGGGCTGCATTTACATATTCACTGTTGAGCTATGATTTCCCACTTTAATACTCAAAAATGACTGTAGATTGAGGAGTTCTTACTATTAAGGAAAAAAAATCTAACCACACAAACAATCACAGATAAATTTCTGCCCAAGAGCAGCCTATAGTCTTCCCATATTCCTCTCTGATCCAAGAAGCGGGCATGTTACACTAGAGTCCAGAGGTGGGTTCACAGCACATAGAATTTCAACATAAAAAAGAACATGTTACCAGGTGGTTCTTTTCAAACCCATAGTTGGGCAAGATTCTTGATTCAGTCAGTGAGATTCTTGATGTCAGTAAGTCAAATAGCGTTTTTGTGATTCTGGGATTTTAAGGTTATGAGATATATTTCTAACCAACTGAAAAACAGCACAAATGAAATTAACATCTTTCTTACTCGAAAAAATTGGCTTCAGGTTTTGCCTTCTTAATTTTCTGAGGAAAAAAGGATTCATTTCTCTCTCCTCTCTCTCCTCTCTCCTCTCTCTCTCTCCTATGGAGTGCTTACCTCTTACTCATAGACACTATCATCCAAACTGTCCAGAAAAGTAAAGCAGTATATTCCCAGTGACATGATACTTTTCCCCTCAATCTTATTCCATTCATCTACAACAATATATTTTCAACTGGGAAATTAGTGCCTGGGGTTGCCAACACAAATGCAGAGAAAGGAAGCTGTCATTCCTTTTAAATGACAGGAAGTCTCACACATCATTCTTAAACCAGAGTCCTCTGTCCTCCACCGGCTTCCAGTCTGCAGCCTTCCATCAGTCAGGGCTGCTGAGCACAGTGTGCTCATCAAGGCGGGCCCAGCAACTGTGAGGTGGCAGTTTAAATGGGGCCGACTTGTCAGGAGAATGACAGTCTGGGCAATTGTTTGCCCTCTGGGAACAGGTACAGTCAGGTTCAAATGAAACACATCCAAATACTAACAGCAAGATCCTTAATCATGTCAATAAAAAGGATGTACTAGTGTCTGGGATTCAGCGGTCACAATATGCTTCCTACACTTTTGAGGATGAAATGCTGTCTTGCTTTTCAAAAGAGTGGTTCCGGGAACTTATCGTGCCATTATCATTTTTAATACAGGCTACTTATGTGATGGATGAAACCTCTATTTCTGATACTTTGACTGGTAAACAAGTATTTTTTTAAATAACTCCAAAGCGGATTACAAAATGAAAGGGTAGAGAACAAGAGAGCCTAGAGGTGAGGGGGAAAAAGTCGTAATAATAACTACTGTAATCAGATTTTGTTTCAGATTAATAGCAATGTTATAATGTAAACATCCAGGATACAAAAGGGCCCTTTAAAAGGATAGCTTGATAGTATTACTGAAATGATGAAGAAAATAGCTAGTCAATTTCATTTCTGGATCTTAAATTTCTCAGCATTTGGGGACTGGCTATGTTTCTCACTAGTTTTCATAACATATCTATTTAAAACATTATGTATTCTATATTTCAATGGTGCTACTAACATTATATCATTTTTTTCATGAAGATCCCAATAATCAAGTAGCGTAAGTGTATCTGGAAGTCATAGCGCTCACCAAAGCACCTTACAATTCTTGGTGTTAACAGTCAAATAATTTTTAAAATATTTACCAAATATACTTTAGGAAGCTGGCTGGGTGAGGAATAACAAGAATATCAACACAGTCTTAGCTTTCATAGCATAATAAAGTTGTGTATTATTAGCTTGGGAAATTGACTGGAGGGGCAAAATCTAACACGTGAAACAACGCAGGCGAAACAAACGAGAGGAGTTTGTAAAACAGAGAGCTCAGCAAAGGCTGCTAAAGAAGGGTGGAGTCATGGGCGAGGACAGAGATGAGCTAGACCTGAACAAAAGGCCTGCAAGCTCAGTTCACCCAGGGAGAGGGAAGGTCACCATGGGTAAAGTTGGAAACTGTACATTTTATTTTCTCTTTTTCAAAGCAAAATAAGACAAAAAGCAGAAGCTACACAGTAACATCAGATAAAGAGTCCAGCCTGTGAAGTGCATAACCTTGAGGAAACAAAATCATTTTATTGGGGAAAAGTAATTTTAGTCAAGAGGACCTTTTCTGATTTTGAAGAAAATTTATGATTTTCTCTAAATGCAGGCTCTAAGGTTTACCTCTTACTATGAGTTAGTAATTAGATAAGGAAAGTCCAAGTACTGCCCACATCCTTCTCTGTTTGAACATAAACTATTCTGTTTTAGATCCCTAAAATGCAAAGTGGTTATGTAGCACAAAAGTAATACCCAGATACTAACTAAATATCTAGGGTATACTGAAGCGTTATGAAATCAACCACGTGATAATTTCTCACCATTACTGTACAAATAAAAATTAAGAGTCTTTTGTGTTTTGAACCAGTTATGTTTATATACAAGCATGTTTTTAATCCTTCTCCAGGCTCAAGTCATTTGGATAATTTCTTTAAAATTATTGACTCAGGTGATACCAATTTTCCATTCAATAATTTTCTCTGTGTCAGAAAAAACATATAAACATAATTCCAGTATTCACATTCAAGTTGAGAAAAGAGCTTATATATTAGGCACATCTAATCTAGGAAACATAAAATGTAAGAATTAAGATAAAGTATAGAAAAGGACTGCTTTAACCATTAAAAATATTTGACTGGCTGATGATTAATCTTAAGTAGTTCTTTCAACTATACCAAAATACTAAAATAAAAAATAAATAATATAATAAAAATGAATGCAAATCTTGTTTTAAAATTTACTGATAATTAACTTCATTCTAATTTTTCAAATTATGCTTCACTTTTTACCTTGGCTGTCAGGAAACCAGGATTAAATTTTTAGTTCAGACACAGTAATGATCCCAAATTATTTTCTTCTTTTACTTTAAATAATTTATTTTTATGGCCTTGTATATGGATGCATGAAATTTTAAATAGGTTTGGATTCCTTTTTGAAGAGCAGGGAACTACAGTACAAGCTAAACGTATTTGCTCTTGATATAATGATTTGATGACTTCATTCCCTTTTATATATCCTAATATACTTTCCAAATTCAAAATTTTGCAATTTTATACAAAAAAAATTTGAGAGGCGAAAAGAATTTTTAAAAAGGCAGCAACTGAAAAAATCACCCAAATGTCGCAGTGTTCTCTAGTTAGAAGCAAATTATAAAAACTATACATACTCAAACATAAGAGAAGTTTATTATTAATATGGCACACCCCCAAGATATATCAAGAGAGATTTGATTAACTAAAATCCATAGAAGCTTGGCCAAATTCTCCTCTAAGACAAAGAAGAAATAGTATTCCTTCTTTCACTGGAAAGAATTTAAGTGAATTAAAATCTTTACAAAGCTCTCAAAAGTTGAAATACTGTATGTCTCAAATGGAGGTTTCTTTCTCTACCTGAAAGCTCTAAATTTTCTTTGTGAACATTTTAAGTCATTTTGGACTTAAAGATTATAAGGAAGCCACAAAATCCAGCATGAATCTAGTATGATACCATCCTTTGTTCAAGGTAAGTTAGAAAAAAAAAAAGACAGCTAAAAAGCGAAAAGAATAAAAAAGGAAGAAAATAGAACCAAGGCACAAATCTTCAATTTTTTTAAAGTGAAAACCAGCTAATTTTCATTTTTCCAAACTCAAAAAAAAATGGTATGTGTGTGTATGTGTGCACGTGTGTGTATGTGTACATGAAAGGGAATTTGGGATAAAAATAAAACAACTTTGTAACTACACAGAAGATATGTCACTACACAATTTACCCAACACCCTGCTGAAAAACCTCATCAAACTAAGGAAAGAGAAAGGCTTACAGGCTGATTCTATAATGTGGATGTGTGTAGCAAGCTGACAGACAGTACCTGTGCTTAGGCAACCATGCTGCAAACATTCCCTTAAAAGATTATCTTATTAAAATATACAAGACAGGAAGTGCACTGATGAAGGACCCCACGTCTATGCCTATTCCATGAGAAGCTAAACAACTTGCCTTGTTTATCCTCTTCCAATTCACTGTCAGAGCATCCACCATCCTCATCTTTCTCATTGGCATCAGCATCCGGTGCCTTCTGTGCTGAGATTTCACTCTCCCTTTCAGGGCCTAAATTATCTTTTTCATCTTCTGAGGGTGACTTTGATATTCCATTCATTTGATCATCAGCCTGTCCTTCTTCATTAGTTTTCTCATCTTGTTTCTCCTCATCTACTTCAAAATCTTCTTCGTACTCTGGAAAAAGAAAATCTCCACTATAAAAATGAAAATAGAATCCTTGATACTTAACCCACTTCACTTTAATGAGAAGTTTGACTCTATTATCCTCTCTTCTCTGGTCCTTTCTTTGCTGCTTCTTTTTCTCACAATTAGCGAGCATGGAAGACTAAGAGTAAGTGATCAAAGATTGCAATCAGCTACATATATGAGAACATAAAAGAAATGAACTTCCAAATGACAAGGCCAAAGCCCAAAAAGAATTAGTTTACAAATGGCCAACATCATCTACAATGACCACAATGGAAAAAGAAGAACTTGCCACCAGACAATAAATTAGAAGTAAATTAAAAATGAAGAGAACAGGATTATAATAATGAAAGTTAATTTGGAGACCCAGTGAGGTCATATTTCATATGAAGAATGTTCAAAATATTTGAATATCAAGTTAATGAATAGTGAAGTGGAAAAATTCAATTAATCAAGTCCAAAGGCCCTGAGAAGTAACACTTGAATAGCACATTCATTGAGAAGGAAATGGACATTACAAAGGCATAATGAAGGATTCTATACCCAAGCCAGAAACTGCACTCATATAATTATTCATTCCTACAATGAATGAAATAATTACATACCAAGTGTAAAAATTCCTACAAAATAGAATATTCCTGTCACAGCCACAAATTTACTTCATTCCCTACAGGGGTGCAACAAACCTGTAGCAGGAAAAGAAAACTGTCACATCAGATAAACTCCAGCTGTCCCTTGTGGTTATAATTTTTCACCTTTCATATTTAATTGTTCCCCTTTTTCCTCCACCAAAAACTAAAAATCTTGAAGTGACAACATGCCAACGAGGGAGAGAAAAAATATCTCATGCAGAACCAATTAAGCAAATAAACAATTATCCTTAAAATAAAAATTACAAGTAAAATATAGGTTCCCAATTTTTTGGGTTTTAGTTATTAAATATCCTGGCTTTTCTTCCAGTAGTGGGGCCTTTTGGGTATTTATCTGAAAGCAGTCCACCTTGCTGCAATAAAAGAAAGTTAATTTAGAAATGTGTGTCCTGGGCATTAATGAAGGTCCAGTTGATGCAGAGAACAAATGAGAAAGATCTAAGAGGAACAGGGAAATCAACACTATAATGAAGAAGGCAAAAAAGAAGAATTCACAAAAATGTTGTCTCTAAAGAGATTTAATATGTGTAAATAAGGAATGTGAACATCAGCAAAACAAAAATGTAAAAAACAAGCAAGAAGATGAAGAATTTGGTTCATGTGACACAAACAGGAAAAACTAAGAGAAACAAAAGAATATTTTGATCTAAGTGCTACTGGCCAGGCACAGTATAGTCTCCCAGTTGGTCCAGTTAACCATCCATCCTTAAGCCTTTCCCCAGAAGCTTCTATGTAAAAGAGAATAAAAAAAAATACTATAAGACAGGGCCAGGAATTTAACTCAGTGGTGCTAGTGGTGCCACTGCCTGCTTCGCGAGTACAAGGTCCTGAGTTCGATCCCCAGTATCAAAAAAAAAAAACAAAAAACAAAACAAATTACAAGACAACATCTGCCATCAAGAAAACTCCAGTTTTTGCTAAGGAAATAAGGTGCAACTGCAAAGGTGTGATGTGCTCATTTTGTTGTAGTTTTCCTACAGGGTCCTCAGTAATGTTAGTGTCAACACTACAGCTCACTTGCTGTGGATTTTTACACAGGACTCATGATTAATTATGTGAAGTAGTATCGAGTACATTACAGCCCCCCCCAAGCCTGTGATTTCAGTCATCTGTGATCAACTACAGTATGAAAACATTACATCAAAAATTCCAGCAATTAAATAATTCATAAGTTTTGAATAACTTTTGTTGGAATATATGGTTATACCTCTTCTATTTTAGAATTATTGTTGTTAATCTCCTACTGTGCCTACTTTATAAATTAAACTTTATCATAGGTATGCATGTATAGGAAGAAACACATAATACCGTCTAGACAGGGCTCAGTACTACCTTGCTTCAGCATCTGCAGAACGTCTTAGAACACACTCCTTCAGAAAAACTGGGGCTACTGTAAGTGGAACAGAATCAAAGAAAGGCAGAAATTCATTTGGGGCACTGTAGAAGACTTCGTATGAGAAGAGGCTGAGGTTATTAGCAGAATACTTGCAAATGTATCATTTCACAGTGTTTTCTCTTGATCACCAGATAAGGAACCACACAGAACTCGCGGATTGCTGCAGTTCTACTGGGCATAGACTATTACACATTAGTGAAAGATGGAATTTGGAGTCTGGTTGTCATGTGTCCAACACTCAGTTAAAATATTTCCTGGCTATGTGACCTTGGGCAACATATTGAATATCTTTAAGCTTCCCTCTCTTCATCCATAACCCAGTTAGTACAACGCTGTGATAATATGAAAAGCAATGACCCTTAACACAGTGCTAGGAACTGCAAGTGTCTAATAACTACCAGCTGTAACAGTGGTTGTGATTGGGTGGTGGAAGGAAGTGGTCACAAAACAAGAGAAATCACCTGCAGTATGTGCCCCTTTGACAGCAGCCCACTCTCCTTGAGGCACCTGATTAAAATCGGGCAGGAGAAGTGTCCGCCATTAGGACACAGTTGCAGTTTTATTAGTAAAATAGAGCATAAAATTGAAAGAACACGTAGTGAACACCACAGGAAAAATGTGTTTTCATTCTAAATAGGACATTCAAAGCTACTGACTTTGTCTACCTTTCCAACCATCACAAACCTCAGGCCTCCAGCAGCCTCAGGCCCTCCACTGTCATGGTAGCACAAGGCATTTCCCTGTGGGTCGCCTACTCAAGCTCTCAGTGTGCACAAACCTGTGCCGTGCTTTCTGGCATCCTTCCTTTTTGTGATTTATTCTGGCCCCACATCCCGTTTCTCTCCTAGAGACTAAATTTCCTTGTTTTCCATGCCCACTCATGAGACCCAAGGCAACACCAGTGGACATCAGTGCAGCCTCCACCTTCCTCCCCAACCTCCACTCTGGCTCCCTGCAGCCTGTACACCGTGGCTCCCCTGCAAACAGCAAAGCGGGGAGGCGCTGCTGCTTTGAGGAGTTGGAATAGAAAGGGTATTTAAAGTTCATTAGCAGCCAACACTGAAGAAAGACCTCAGGAAACGCTGTATCATCAGCACAAAGACTATCCCTTGTAAGGCTCACCATGTTGGTTTCAGGAAGAGGAATGAAGAAAATCAAAGACCGGTATTTGGCATGGCTTTAATAAATCTCATGTGTTAAAAGTTAAAACACAGAAAAAAAAACATAGAAAAACACCCCCTGTGTTAATCTCTTTGCAATTGCTGTTGTTACCGTTATTTTTAAATTCTCAGTCCAAGATAAGAATAAAACTAGGAGAGATCATGGAGAGAGGGAAACTGGACAAAAAAGAGAGAAAGCTTTTTTAAGATAGCCACATTACTTTGGAAATCAACAAACACATGAAGTCCAGGGCTCTGAGAGTCCAGTAATCATTCTCTCTGATTTCTGAAATGTTTGGGCCGCAAGAAGAGGAGGTGAGGAAGAAGATACCAGAAACCACTTGTTCCACGGGTCACCAGCCTGTGGGATGTTGTTCCTGTAATCCAGGCTTTGTCTCCTGGGCAGAAGAGGGATAATCAGGCTACTATCCCTCTATGATTCTTTGGGCACATCACCCACAACTATGTGGCATCTGAGAACAGAAGATTGTACAGTGTTTGAAAGCCTGAGATTTGCAAGTGCCTGAACTTCGGTATAAATCTGAGTAGTTGCTTTCTCTGAGCCTCAGTTTCTCAGACTGTAAGACAGAAGGAGTCATAATATCTACGACATCAAATGGTAACAATATACTGAGACAGTGTGGAAAGTGTGCGTGTGTGTGTGTTTGTGTGTGTGTAGACAGAGTGAGAGAAGAAAGAAAAAGAGAGGACAGAAATTAAAGAAGAAAGCCAAAGAAAAATCCACATAGGTTCCAGGATCCCAAGCCTGCGTCTACTGCTTTTAGTTATGGAATACTGTATCACCATATAATCATATAGATGATACCTGCCTAATCCCAAAGCTATTCATCAACTTCAACAAAGCAGGGGCATAAAAAAAACTAAAACAATAGGCAGGATTCTATTTGGTCAAAATGGTCACTTTGGAAGTCAACAGGACCTCTCTGGCTCACAGAGATAAGTCTCTGTCCTCCCACATCCCAGCAGCAACTGCCCTGCTCTAAGGTAGGCGACCTAGGCAGACTCCATTCAGATCAGCAGACAAAGCCCATCAGGGTTTTCTCCCACTGAGCAGAGCTCTCTAAAGACCTCACTGACTAACAACATATAATAGATAGCTTTGAAAACTTTTGATTAGTGACAGTCTAAATACTCAACAGCAGCAACATCCAAGAGCCCTGTTATTGATCACTGTATTTAAAAGTGTTACCCTGGTTGTCTTCCCAAACATCTTGTCCTGGTTTTCCTTTACGTTCCATTTCTTCCATAGCAGTTCTCACTTCTCTGACCTCTGGTTTTATTTCTTCCACTGAAAAAATGGCCGAGGCAGAGATTTTCTTCCCCTCAGTCTCAGTTCTTCTTGGTATCCAGTTCGCTCGCTCCTGCCTCAGCTTCCGTTCACCCTTCCTCGGGTCCTCTCTGTCATCAGGGCTGTTTTCTTTCCTGGGTTTCACTGAAGATGGTTTTTTGTCAAGGCCCATTGCAATAATGCACCTTTGGGAAAAAGCAGAACAAAGTGTGTATCAGCCTTCACTGTGTTACAACACAGTGGACCTCACAGCTTTTTAAAATATTTATCTCTTATCCTAAAGAGACATGTTGTGAGAAATGTTGTATCACTGGTATACATGTTGATTAAAATAAATCATCTTATTGATACTAAAAACGTATAAACACAGTGTAGTAATAATTTTACTCCAATAATTATAAAAACAAATCATCAACCAAGAACTACATCAAATCAAAATTTGGGCCTTAAAGTGTATTTTTAGTCTTCTCACAGTCATTTATAGATATAAGAGGTATGAATGAAAAATGCAGTGAATATTTAAATTTTAAAAGTTCATGTAGTAAAAGAAACCCAGCCATCAGTCCCCCTCAAATATTCCCTCTTGCTTCAAACACACTTATCTCATCATACTTTTCACCTTCTGAAACTGTTTACAGTTTACATTTACCGTTGCTTCTGTCCAATAAAAACATTATGTTGTTTCCTAATCCACCTTATTCTCCAGATCTGGCACCGTGTGACTTCTGGCTCTTCTCTAAAGTCCAAATGACCATAAAAGTAAATGTTTTGAATCGATTCAGGATATCAAGGCAGCCTCAACACAACTAAAGATGCTCACAGAAGAGGACTTCCAGAACTGCATCAAAAAGTGTCAAGAATGAGGGGAGAAGTGTATTTGAAGCAAAGGGAATATTTGAGGGGAATTAATGACAATGTGTCTTTCACTGTAATTACTTTTTATACTTAAACGCTATTTTTATCACATCTTGTACATATATAAATATAGATGCATAATGGTAGATACATGGATAGACAGACTGATAGATAATCGTGTAAGTTCTTAAATGGGAATTATATAATAAAAGAGAATTCAGGCTTAAAAACATAAAAATTATCAGAAGAGGGCTGAGGATGGAGTCCAGTGGTGGAACGCTTGCCTGGTATGTGCCAAGTCTTGGGTTTGATCACCTCTACTGACAAAAAAAAAAAAAAAATTAGAAGACAGATGCCATTCAATCTATGAAAATTTATTGTTGTAAAGGACTTAAATACAAGGTTGACTCTAGATAAACATGATTGATATTTTTAAGAAATATACAGTTAAATGTTGCGGTGCCCTGTAAGTAAATAACTCAGGAGTCTTCACTCTTATTTTAATAGAACTGCCATTACTGCTTTTAGAATGGCCTTTTAAAGACTGTACTGCAATCTTCTTGTGATTTTTCCTAGCAATAAGCTTTTGTTTCCCGAAGATGGCAACAATTTGTACAAGTCATAGCGTGATTCCGAGTCAAAACTGGTGAACCGGCCAGATGATCTCTGGGTATCATGACATTTAAAAACTTTTCATCAGTCATAACAAGACGAAAGTAAACAAATTGTCTTCTATAGCTGTCATTTCTCTCAAGTTAATATCAAAATGAGAATTCCAGTAGTGATAACGTAGACATTGATGTAAGTGATTATGATAATGACTGATTGTGGAGCATTCCTTCCATTCCAATCTCTTTGCTGAGTACTGTATATGCAATATCTTAAGGGCTTCATTACCCCACAAGCCAATAAATTAATAAGGATCACCACTGCACAGAGGAAGAAGCTGAGGGAAAAGCTTCCATGGCCTGGTAAACATTTCCACTGAGGCCGGCGGACAATCCCTGACTTGCAAAAGGTATACAGCACATTTCAGTCTCCCCACTTCTCCCTCCTCCCGGAATCATCGTGCCGCCCTCTCTCCATGCTAGACAACTATGGGGAGCGGAATCGTTTAGGGTGGGCAGGTGAAAGGGGGTCATAGTGCAATCAATACTCATCAGTCCAGGAAATAGAAATAACACTAAAATCTGAAAATTACGTCGACCTGAATCAAATCCAGTGGCAATTTCTTAAGCTGAAGATTTCACTAAATTTCAGTCTTGAAATAGCCCAGGAATTGATTCTAGTAAATTCTCCCAACAAGCAAATACAACAACTGAGTTATATCACTTAACATTTCAGTATCTCCTCATAAAATAAAGCTAAAAGGATTTGCACTCAACCTACCAGGCTATAAAGCACAAGATAATAAAAATCTACTCACCTCACCCATATTAAGCATGATAAATACTTCTAGACAGTAATTGTGAGGTGCTTAGCACATAGCTTTCTTTGGAATGAAGGTGTCACACATCTTCACGGAATGTGATTACTAGTGTCGCCCTCTATTCAAGCCGCTCTCCTCCTTGCAGTGGCAACCCCAATACACTGATTTGGAGCCTCTGCTATGCTGTTACTTTTAGTTTATGTTGTGACTATGGAAAGGCTTTGATGCCTCCCTGTTGCATGCACAGACGTTTTATTGCCCATCTGCTGATGGGAATTGGATGAACAAAGTGACTAACATCTGTGCTCGCCTCGTCACTGACTACCTATTTGACTTCTGAGCATAATCTGAGGTGTTGATTCTGATTACTGAAGCTGACAGCAGTCCATGTTCTCCTTGTTTGGGTGATTCTTCTTCCCATATTCCCCTCTGGTAATGGAAAATAGATCCAAGACTTGAGGGATGAGGGCAGCTGTGGTACCTTCACATTTTGGAAGTGACCAACTGTTCTTTTTTCTTGTTTTCTGAGGACCTTAAGCAGGCAATTCTTACTCATTTTTAGAAATAGATCTCCCAAATGTTTCATTTTACCATAGCCTCCTTCTTCTCATTGGAAAAAGTTTCAGGGATTAGCATTTTTTAATGAATTAAAATTTCATTTTGAAGAAGCTAGAGGAGTTATTGTGCACTCCTTACAATAACAAAAAGCAGCATTCTGGATTGAGCAAAAACAAATGATATACAACATAAATGATCCTGGTCCTCTTAGCGGTAGTTCTCAGCTCCCACTGGAATTTTGCAGTGTTGGTGGCTCCACAATAACCAGGATAGTCTCAGCTGGGGCTGGGCCACCCATGCCTACCCATTTCAACCACCCTGAACTGGCTTTGACCTGCTCTGTAACAGAGACACCCAATGACATAACTTACAGATTTCACTGGAAGAAATGGTTTTGAAGCCAACCAAAGAACTGAAAACCATTCTCCTTGAAGAACTATATATTTTAATTGAGAGTAATAGGACCTATTCTTTTTTTTGGTATATCCTTTTATTGTTACATTTTAGGTGTACAACATAAGGACATTCATCATTGGAGATATGCACTTTTACATACTCTCTTGATTCTAATTTTTCCCCCTTCCCCTACCCTCCCTTCAACCCCTTCATCCCTCCTTCTTTACAAAGACTTTGTTTCCATTTTTTCATTTTCTCATATTAATTCCATTCCCTTCTTTCCTTTCCCCTACCCTTCCCACTTCCCCCTCCCCTTTGCCCCTTTTCTTCCTGTTTCACATTATCTATTATACTTTTAGTCCTTATTTACACTTTCAGTTTCTCGCACTAGAGAAACTATTCGGTATTTACACATGTGTGTCTTGTTTATTTCACTCAAGAGTATCATCTCAATGTGCATCCATTTAGCAATAAATGTCTCTAATTTCTCATTTTTGATGGTTGAGTAGTGCTCCATTCTATAAAAAAAAACACACATTTTCTTGATCCAGTCTCCAGTTGATGGGCATTTGGGCTGTTTCAAGTTTTAGCTATCACAAACTGTGCTGCTATGAACATGGGTGCGCATATATCACTGTGGTATGATTCTTTTAATTCTTTGGGGAAGATCTCCAGCAGAGGAATAGCTGGGTCAAATGGGACTTCCAGTGCTAGTTCTTTGAGGTATCTCCACACTGATTTCTGCAGTGGTTGCACCAATCTACACTCCCACCAGCAGTGGAGCAGGGTTCCTCTTTCCCCACAGCCCCGCCAGCATTTGTTGTTGGTTGATTTCATGATAGCAGCCATTCTTTCTGGAGTGAGGTAGAGTCTCAGCATTGTTTTCATTAATAGGACCTATTCTTGAACATCAATACCATTTTGATATTAATGGGAAAGTGACAGAAAGAAGCTAGAGGGGACCACGTGTTGAAATCAGAGAAAAAAAACTGTAGAGCAGCTAAGAGGTGTGGAATAGGAGAGCAGATGTCATCAGTCAGATTTGGGTACTGATGACTAAACCACAGAAAGTGCTCAGGGCTAAAAATGGACATCTTTGATTTGTCCACAACTTCCAAAGAATGCAGTGTGTTTCCACACGGATGATCATATGTAAGCGCATAAGTTTTCCTGGGAGTTAAATAGAAATGGTTAAATGCCTTGCCCACAAATAAGGAGATAGCAAGTATGAATTGGAGCTGAAAGGAATTTGGGACCCTAAATACAGCTGGATACAGAAGTACAGCCCTAGGCCCTTCATTCTTCCTCTTGGGATGATTCTTTCACACCTGTTCTCTTTTCTAAAACTTCCAACCCCTCCTCTTAACCTCAGCTGATAAATGTATTCATTTTTTTAGAAAAGAGAAACCATCTGCAGAGAATGTCTGGTTGGTCCTAGCACATCCACCATCTCACTTCTCTCTCTCCCCTACATGGCATCCCACCACCCACTGTTACCACAGAAGAGTATTTGTCCTCCAGGTAAGACTATACCTCTGCTTAGGCCCATCTTCTCCAGCCTACTTAAGCATAACCTCTATAGCAGTTTCCCTCTTTATGTCACACTTCATCAGTCTTTTTTTCCTGTAGGGTACAATTCCTATCTATTAACATAAAAATGTGCTAGAATATTCTACTAGAAAAAGTAAAAAGCCTTTTGACCCTATTATAGTATTCTCTCCTGGATTATTGCCCATTTACTATTATTTAAAGCAAAACTCCTTTAAAAAGTTGTCTCCATTCTCTGCCTTTAGTTATTTTCTTTTCCAACTATCCCTTAAACCCACACAATCAAGTTAACTTCACTATGATAACTTGTCTCAAGATCACAATAACTAACACACCACCAAATCAATGCTCAATCTCCAGTCTTCATCCTACTCAACCTCTTCACACATTTGACCAGTTAATCAACCCTTTATTCTTCAAATGTGTTGTTCATTTCCAAAATATCACTCTCTTTCTAATCGGTGTCTTTCCTTCTCAGGCTGGCTTCTCCTGACTTCCTTCACCTCCAAAATGGAATGATACACAGCTCATTGCTCAAACATGTTCTGTGTCTGTATATACTTTTTAAACTCTCATTTGACTCTACAACTTTAAATGCCATCTAAGTACAAATCAGTCTCAATTTCATATCTTCATCCAAGACTCCTCTCCTGACCTCAGATTCATACTCCCAACTGCCTACTCAACATGACTACTCAGATATTTCATAGATGTCTCAACCTCATGAATCCCAGACCCATGCCCCTTCATTCCCACATCTGCTTCTTCCACAATCCCATTTTAAGTACATGTTAACTGGATCTCCAGCCAGTACTTCAGGTAAGAAAACATTTGAGTCCATCTCATGCCCTGCCTCATCCACCAGTAGACCCCATGGGCTTTACCTTCAAAATCCACATTGAACTCAATCACTTCTAACTCCTACCCCATGTCTTCTCTGGATTAAGGCAGTTTCCACTCCCCCATTCCACACTTTATTTTTTCCCGTAGAAACCACTGTTGGATCATGATCAACACTGCCATCCTTTTCAGAATAAAAGTCAAAGTCCTTGCAGTGACCTCAGGACTTCCGCACAGTATGGTTCCACTGCCTCTTTGACCTCATCTCCTGTTGCTGCCCCACGCCTGATTCTAGCTCTTGCCAGAGGACTAAGGCACACAAAGTGTGCTCCTTGCTCTTGCCCCTGGATGTGCTTTTCTCTCCTGGAAAAGCTATTTGGAGGAAAAGACTTTTTTATTTCTGGGTCCTGTGCAGATGTCTTCTCTGAAAGGTGTTTCTTCACTGCCCTATGTAAAACAACACCCCTTCTGGGGTTTGTCCCCCTCAGTCCCTATAACTCCTTCAATTACTTTATCAGTATGTTGTCTTCCCTTTCCCTATTAGAATAAGTTCCAGGATCACATGTACTTCAGTTGGTTTATTCTTGTGTTTTAGCTTGGTGTCTAGTCAATTTCCCAGGAATACTTGCAGAAAAAAACATGTCAGAAGGCCTGCAGGCAAAACTCCTGATGTCAAACAGGATGCCCAACATGAACGCTGAGGAACAGCATTCAAACCTAACCTCTGTTTCGGCTGAGGCTGAGATGAAGGGGATGAGAGTGAAAACTGTGCCATCCCACGCTGCAGGCACAACTCTCATATCCACAAGCTGTGTAGCTGCCAATCACACAAGACGAGTGCTTGGCACATGGCAAGGTTGGGGGTCTAGTTCCAAACCAGTTAGAGCAATGATTATAAAAACCCAAAGAGAAAAACTCTGCTCATTTCCTTCAGAGACAAATCTTAAAATAGCACAATAAGAAGGAGAGAAAGTGAGACAATTTAAAAGGCCATGAACATTTATTTATTTCTATTATAGAATAACTCTGAAAAATCTGAGTTCTAGCTTATAATTTTAAATGGAAACACTCAGGGTTGTACTGAATAGTACTTATCCTAGATAGCCTAGGCTCAAATATACAGATTTTTCTTAACAAATTGCACTGATACATGCATTAGTGAGAGAATAACAAAAGTGCAGGCAAACTTGCCCTCTACCAAAGGACAAGTATTTCCTTACTTGTAGCAAGGAGATGCTCTCTCCACACACACAAACCCAAAGTAGCCTCGTTTGCCTCCCAGTCTGGAGCCTTTCCGGTGCTTATATTCGCAGCAGGAGCTCAACCTATTCACCTGCATCCCGTTCAGAAAGAAGGTGAGGCTGAAGGGAAAACCATGGTGCCTTTTGGAAATGAACTGAAAAGTCTCTGGAATTACAAAAAATGGTCAGTGAAAACTATTGACTGTGGACTAACATCTTCTACATTACATTTTTCTTTTAGATAAATATGATATTAGGCACTAAATCATCTTTGGAAGACAACTTTAAGCATCAAGAACCATCCTATAAGGGAACAGGGATTAAAAAAAGAACAGAAGGAAAACAATGGAAACAAAGTTTTGTAAATGGGAGGGGAATAAGGGTAGAAGGGAGGGGAGGGGAATGGGAAAATAATAATTAAGATATATTACATACAAGGACAAATTCCCCACAATGAATGTGATCATTATGTATGGAAAAACATACCAATAAAAATTAATTTTAAAGACCATTCTATTATTTTGAATTATAATAAGTACTCCAAGTCTTTATAAAACTCTGATTTGTTATAAAACAATGATTTCTGACATTATATGAGCACATGTTACTTCCAGGCACTATGCCTGATTACCTTAGGTGTGCTATTCCTCAACAATCACATGAAATAGAAATATCTCTGTTGATAATTTCTAAATGAAGAAATTAAGAATTAGAGGAGTCCAGTAATTTACTCACTATTATACAGTAAGTGGGAGAGTTAGTATTGGAATACAAACATCTCTTTAAATCCCATACCTTTATCTTAATATCCCATCTATATTGACAAAGTACATAATGACAAAAACTTGTTATGAAATTAGTATGCTTTTTAAAGTTTTCTGTTTGCAGTGGTGACTTTAAACATCCTAATATACATGTGAATGAGGCAGAGGTATACCATCTCTAAGCCACATTCAATTATTTGGATTTGAGACCTCTTTTTCTCCTTCTCCACCCACCCAAGCATCCTAAGAATAAATTAAGAACAATGGTTGCAATTGATTTTAGTTATTCCAAATCTTTATAATTCTCTAAACAAAATCCAACCCAAGAGACCCTGTTCTCTACAGAACGGCTCAGAATCCGGCTACTTATGAATTCCTCTAACAGCCTGTACTGCTTCTACCAATAATATAGTAAACAATTTTCACCTCTGTATTATGTGCACATTTATTTCTAATCTTGCATGTATTGCAATATATTAAAATATGGCTACACTTGGAGTTTCAAACTTTAATATGCACCAGGATCACCTGAGGACTTGTTAAAATGTGTATTGCTAAGCCTCACTCCAGAGTTTCTGACTCAGCAGGGCTGGGGTAGAGCTCCAAAGCTTATTTACCTAACAAGCTGCCGGATAACCCTGCTGCTACTGGTCCTAGGAGCCTACTTTGAAAATCTTAATCTAGATATTTTCCCTGCTGTATGTTTTTGAAATCTATGAGAGCTGAAGATGAACTTAACTCATCTTGGTTTCCCCAGAACCCAGAACAATGAGAAAGGAAGTCTTCCCAAATAGTAAATGGTTCATTATTTTAATCTGTTTATTTCACCATCATCTAGAAATACCATGAGTACCTCACATTATACCCCTAGAGATGTCTAAATGAGATATGTCACTCTAAAGACTCAGACCTATTGAAAAGGAAATCATTTACACTTTAGTATTTATGACATGACATCAAACAAACCAGGAAAAAAATTTAAGTTAGTATCTTACAATAGGTTTTGAAGTCCACTTGTTTTAATGATAAAGCAATTTCCCAAGTGGTGACTAGAAATCAAGTTTCATTGCTTTCACTGTAGAAACTTCAACTCCACATTCATATAATAGAGCCCATTCCAGTGAAGCATGAGTCTGACAATCCCCTAAGCACTCAGCCAGGAAGAAACTGCACTTAAGGCAACGTTGAGCACAGGCACAGAAAATCAACTCCTAATTGTGACTGCTTTTCTATCTGACGCGAGTATTGCTTGAGAACATACCCAGCTATTACTCCAGTTTGTTCACTTTTTGAAACGTATTAAACAAGAATTGACGCCCTCTGTCTTTACTCCTTTTTAAATTTATTCTGTAATACTGCATTTTAAAGTACAGTAACATCTCTTAATCCTGACTCCATGGCTTTTCCATGGAGTATAGAGAGAAGGTAGACCAGAAATGTCTCCGGCTGGTGATTTAGCTCAGTGGTTTAGCCGCCTGCTGCGCAAGTACAAGAACCTGAGTTCAGTCCCCGGTACCAAAAAAATAAATGTTTAGTCCATTGTGCAGTTCCTCACCTAATGGGGTATGTCATGGTAAGTCACTCAAATGTGTTTCATTTCAAAATTCTCATGTATAAAGCGGGGATGGTTGGGGTGGAGCCACAGTCTACCCACTTCACAGAGCAGTTTTAAGGATTATGTTATCTACAATATTAGCAACCACTTTATAATATTTTAAAACATAGTTACTAATTATTCCTCGGCAGTGGGTGGCACTGTTTCAGGACCAAAGACTTAAAACAAACTAAGCAGCACTTATTCATGAAAAATTACTGAACTTTAGATAAAAATTGAGAATCTGCAGCATTCTTTTTCCCGGGACTACTCTCCGCCCCACACCTGCCACTATTTCATCACAGCGGTTCTGGTTGGGTAGTGCCAGACATAAATAACCAGCAGCTTCCCTGTCAGTGGGGCTGACTTGGTTGAGAGGAAAAGACATAAAACCCCAGGCCTGTGGTATCACCCATAGTAAGTAGCAATCTGGGAGGCAACCTAACAAGGAAGGGCAGAGGTTCTCTGAGACTGTAGGTCTAATTAGAGCTGGCAGCAGGCCAGTGGACTAATCAGAATTTTAACAGGGAGATACAAGGAATAGGGCAGCCACAGTGGCTTTGCATATGCTCTCTACCCCTCGCCAGCTCAGTGGACACTGGACAGATGTAGGGAGTCTGCTCAGCTCTTATACTCCCAGGCTGCCCAGAGCTCCGCTTCTGCCCAAAGAAGACACAAGAGAATCCGGTGGAAAATCGAAGTGGAACAGACTTGAAAACCACCTGAACTTTGCATGTACCCTGAAAGCACTGAAATTCCAAGCTACTCAGAAGCTCAGATGTAACCTTATTCAGAGACAGGGTCTTTGGGGATGGAATTAGAGAGGGATCGAGACGAGATCATCCTAGATTTCAGTTTTACCCTAAATCCAATAACTGCTGTTCTTAGGGGAAGACAGGAGAATATCATAACTAAAATAATCTTCCATGCTCTACTACTCAATGTCACTAAGATAACTAAATAAAAATTTTACCACTATATCATCTTATACTTTTATGTTTCTAAACGTATATTATATAAATACATATGTATTTATTTATCTAAAATTCACCTTTATAAAATAATTGATATCAGTTTTTAAATGTATATTTCCTTCAAACCTTTTGTTATTACTGTCTAGAATTACATCTTTATCAAATAAAAATATTCATATGTTCACAATTTTTAGGATTTTTCTAAATTCCATTTTTTCTGTTTTGTTCCTGACTAAACTATATTTTGTCTTATTTACTTCCATTTTTTATTATTAAATGTCTGTGATACATAACAAGTGGATTAAGTGGAGAATTGGTACCTATACATATTACATCTTGATTCTCACTTCCTCTTCCCTTTTCTCTGTCTCATCTCCAAAAGTCAAGGAAAGAATGACCCTTAGAGTTTTTCAAAGAGTATGGTCCTGTCAACACCTTCATTTTGGATTTCTGGCCCCCAAACCTGTGAGAAAATAAATTTTTGTTGCTTAAGCAACAACTGGATGGGGGAGATTTGTTATGTCAGCCTAAGAAACTAATATCCCACAAACAGATGCAGGGCACAAGAGGGAGGCCTTCCTGCCTCAAGACGTTTAACAAATCACTGATGATCACCAAACAGAAATCATAGAGTCTAGCCTAAAACATATGAATACAACTTTTTAAAAATCTAAGCAAAATTTCAATAGCTTTGTACTGGAGTGATGGGGGTTTAATTTCACAAATTTACTCAAAAAGTGAACAAGAACAAGAAATCCTCCCTCAAAAAGAAAAGAAAAAGAGGAAGAAAAATAAAACTTTCAAAAGTAAAAATTCAGAAGTTGTAATCCATAGTATCTATAATACATTCTATAATACATTACCTAGAATCTTTCCTTCAACAAAATATCAAAAGAGATACTTAATATGGGAAAGTGTGATCCATACTCCAAAAAATAATCCAAAAAATAATCAAAACCAGTCTTAGGAACCTAGTCAAGAGAAATGACAACATATGTATATGCAAAACTTTATATGTATGCAAAACTTTGTATGTAATGTATAACAGCATTATTTTTAATAGTTCTAAACAAGAAACAAAAATATGTCCACCAACTGAGAAATGGTTAAAATATGTCATGGCATATATTCAGCCATGTAAGGAGAGTGACAAACAATATATCCAGGTTGATAATCTTTATGTGAAATGCATAAGCCAACAAGTATTTCAGATTTCAGATTTTAATCCTGGAATATTTACATAGACTTTAAATCGCCGAGCACTCCTAATCCAAAAATCTGAAATCCAAAGTCCTAAACTTCTTGACCATTGTATCAGTGTACTACAAATATGTAACTTTCAAAAATACTATGCCAGATGAAAGAACCAAGACATAAAATACCACCCATTGTATGACTGCATTTATAGGAAGTGTCCAGAAGCCATGTTCAAAAAATAATCTTGTAAGGACAGAGAGCAGATCAGTGGGTGCCTGGGTCTGGATACAAGAGCAAGGACTGCCTGCCAGTGAGCACATAGAAACCTCTGGATATGCAGGAGATGTCCTAACACCGGTGTGTAATACAGGCTGCAAAACGTATACAGTTCTCAAAAATCAATGAACTGCAGTACTCCATTGTGCATAAATACAACATACTACTCACCCATGAACTTGAGTGATTTGTAGGAAAATGGACGCACTATAAAAACACAATGTTAAGTGAAATGAATGAAGTTATATACCACATGGTTTCTGTTATATGAGAAACCCAAAATATCAATAAATTAAAGGGCAAAATAAAAGATAGCAAGAAACAGGGAGATAAATCTTTTGCAAAGGTAAGGTGATAAGAAACGGAGGAAGGAGCCGGGGATTTAGCTCAGTGGTTTCGCCGCCTGCTGCGCAAGCGCAAGGACCGGAGTTTGATCCCCAGTACCAAAAAAAAAAAAAAGAAAAAAAGAAATGGAGGAAGGTGGGACAGAGATGAGGGAAGAGGAGGTAAAAAGAATTAAGATGTTTTATGTACGTGTACCAACTCCCCGTGATGAATGCAATCATTTAACATGAAGCAATAAAAAAAAAGAAAGAAAAGAGACAGTCATACAATATATTTAAGAAAGATGTATGTCCATATGTAAACATTTTGACACAGGGGAATAAATTTTGTTTTCATTAAAAATGGTAAATAAATAAATAAATACCACCATCAAAAATTCAAGGAATTACACACAAGGGACTCATTTTATGGCACTTAATTTGCATCTCAATAAAACTATTTTTTAGAAACTAAAATATTCAACGTACCCTAACAAGTAAAGAAAAACAGCAAGTATAAGGGAGACTATAAGGAAACGCTCCAGTTTTGAGGACAAAGAGCCATGTGCTACTGGAATAAAATGGACAGAAGTCATCTGAGGAAGCTGTGAAGCCTTAATCTCAGTGTTAAAGATGGGTAAAATTTGAATTTACAAGGGAAGAAAGAGAGCACTGCAGACAAAGAAGTGAACAGTGCAAAGACGTGTGCAGGGGCGGGACAGTGAAGGAACTCATTAGCCAAGGAGTAATGAGGAATGCACAAATAGTGCAACAGGGTCTCTTTATGGAAATGTGAAAAATGGCCGCAAAAGGAAGCAGGGCCAGAAAAAAAAGATACTTCATTCATTGCTTTACATGAACCCAAGAGGCCAAAGTTTGTTTCCTTCAAAAGCATAAACATGGTAAATAAGAATACCTGGGAAGAAACCATACTCTTTACAAGCAGCAAAACGATTCAGTGACTTCACAGGTGCATATAGTAGGCAATCAGTTTTGCTCAGAATCTCCAAGCTCGCTACAAGACCCATGATGAATTCCTTTGGGAATGAAAGATACACTTGCTGCACTGTTAAATAATTTTATTGTTATTTTTTTAAATAAAAGAGGAAGATCAATTAACAACTGCCACATTTTAATGAGTTTACTCTTCCAAGAGTATGATAAAGGTCCTTTTCTTAAAACTGAAATCTTCTAAAAGCCTATTCACATTTCACTGAATCATGCACAGCTTTGATTTGTAAAAAAGGGAGATTCTTTTCAGCTCAGCTAAGATGATAAGATTGCTGAACCTCAGGACAGCTCCGAGCCACCCAACTTTTCAATTTTGAACAATTACTTTCCTGGCCATCAAGGGCAAGCTGAGACAAAATTACTGTATGGACAAGATTCAATTATTTAAGTCTCCATTGCATGTTATTATTCAAGACTGTCTAAAGGCATAACAAAAAGTCCTGGATGGATGTGCATGCAAAATAACACGGAGCCAAGTCCCACGCCTCCTCGCATCAGGTTTGGTTTTGCACTCTCATTGCAGAGTGTGTGTCCTCTACCAAAAAGTCCTTCAGCTACAACTTACTCTTCTTTTCATCTGCATCTGCCACATTTTCCAGCAGTCAAATATATACTATGGATACATCTTGTTGAACGCAGCGTGATCTAAGACCCAGGACATTTTTCACTGTGTTGATTCTAATTGTAGATTATAACTAATGCCAGGAATTCCCCTAAATTAAGAGCTGAATATAATACTTTAAAAAAATAAGTGTATGTTATTATCTTGGCCAAACACCTCTCACATTATGAAAATGCAGAAAACTCTCTGCACTGACAGGAGCTAACTGAGGCTGCACATCGGCTGTCCCTGCTCCGGTCATGTGACCTCAGGGACCTACCCCAACCCAGGAGTCCTCCCATCTTCCTCATTTACAAAACTGAAGGAAGAAGCTCAGCAAAGTAAATCATGTTTCCACGAAATATTGGTGGAAAATTGGAAAAAAAAATAGTTTCTGGTATAATTGGGCATACTTTTTTACTTTAAGTTAAAACTGACATTCTAATGTTTACTCACATATGTAGGGAAGTTTAAAATATGGAATTCCTGTGCATGTAGTTATCTTTTTATTTTTAGGGTGTGAAATATTTTTCATTAAGAGTCATTCTTTTTCCATGTTGGTTCTGATCACCTTCCTTCATGCCTATGTCTATGTCAAGATTTCTCAAATATTACTTGTAATTACTTAAAATACTATCACTTTCTAAACAGAGTTTCTTAAGCAAGGAAATAACAAATAAAATCCTGCAAATATGTTCCCTAGTCATTAGTGCTCCACTGAATGAAATATTGAAGAAAAATGCAAGAGTAAATATGTGAAAACCTATATTGGATATAAAAATGATCTCATGCTGACAAACACAGATTTGTGATCAAACGAAAGAAGAAATCTACTAAAGGGCCATTTAGGCAAATTTTGCACCAACTTGTTTAGGTGTGATTCACCCTGGAGTTTATTGGATTTGTGATTTTATTTCAACATACCGCTTAACAACAAATTGCCAATCTGTTATTTTTCTCTTAGAATAATATATGATATAATTCACTATTGCAAGCCGAATAGTTAACTTGTAATTTGGGGGACAGCCTATTTGTGCAACATTTTAATGATCATATATCTCTATCCCAAAATTAATCTGTTACCCTGTTAAATCACTCCAAATTCCTTCTTCCACAATCTGCAAAAGTAATTGCAGCTTCAGTTTCAATCATGGAGCAGTAAATCTAGATTTACTTTTAGGCAGCTGGTTTATAAGCCCCTGGATATGCATAATTTAATAAAGTGATTGAAGTCATTTTGATATTATATCAGGAACAGTTTATCTATAACATTGACCCCAAACAATTAAAAGAAATCCAACTTTTATGTGTACCTTTTTCAAGTAGTTTGCCTTTGTACACACAAAGGTTTTCTCCACCACAGTGCTGCTGATAAACTCTTATTTCATCTCGGAAGTCCGGGCCATCATAAGATAGGTGCACATTTTTCCCCAAATAGATCATTGTAATAGCCGCATTACTGTGCAGTGATGTTTTGTAAATCTTTCCTGAGTCCTAGAAAAAACAAAAAAGAGGCTTATTAGCTAATTTCCTTATAATCAGAGTTTTGATTTTCATATGGCATAGTAGTAAGAATATAAAGGGAAAGAAAAAAGTATGAGAAATGGAAAAAATGGAAACAAAGACTTTGTACAGGGAAGGGTGGGGGGTGAAGGGAGGGCAGGGAATGGGGAAAAAAATAAGAACCAAGATGCATCATGTAAAGGTACAAGATCCCAATGAGAAATGTAAATGTATTGTATATCTAAAATGTACCAATAAAAGAATTTAAGGAAAAAGAAAAAGAATAGAAAGGGCTGCTTTTACATAAGCAGTTTTCAAACATCTTTACAAAGTGTCTATTTACATGGAGCACAAAAAGTCAACCCCTTTACAAAATAAATACTTCTAAACAATTCGAACATGTATTTGGGCTTTATATTTTTAAATGCTTGAGATTTAGAGAAAGTTCGTCATTTGTTAAGTTTGTATATTTGCCTTTTACACAGAGTGAAAATGTCAATGATACTAGGAGGAAACTACTTTTGGCTATTTTAGTTAGGGCACAAATAAAAATTTAAACAAATGATTTTTTTCAATGTTGATACATCATTTTGTTCCAATCTGAATCAACACTGTCTGTCATATGGCAGTAGTTTTGGGACTTCATCTTTACAGTTGAACATTGACAACATATCCTCCCTTGGATTTATTCTACCTGACAAGGACATGTACAGGATCTTTCTTTCTGGGCTCATTCTGAGGATCAAGGATCACATATGTCATTTGCTTGCAGTGATCTATGTTCACAAGAAGCATATAGTTTAATGAAAAAATAAAAAGTAAAATAATATTACAGCTGGGCTCCGTGGTGCACAACTGTAATCCCAAGTTCTGGGAGGCAGGAGGATCACAAGTTTCAGTCCAGCTGGGAAACACAGTGAGACACTGTCTCAAAATTTTAAAAAATAACTAAAAAGTGAATGGGAATATAAAGGCCATGGGTCCCCCAGTACCACAAAACAAACAAAAAATCAATATCACTAATGTGATTTTAATATCAAAAACATATACCTAACAGACTTTTTAAACTTATCTGATGAACCTACATGATATTGTTACTGACAACGAACGAAATGTCCAAAACATTCTCTCCTAATTTCTATTCTTAGGTGTTTTTGTAACAGTGAATGAGCACATTGTTCACTCACCTCTGCTACCAACGCGACCCATAAGATTGTAAACTTTTAACACTACTCTTTTTAGCTTTAGTTCTTTTTTTAATTTTTGATTTTTATTAGTACATAATGATAACATTCATTGCAGAGAATGAGTGCGTGTACATAACACATCTCAATTCTTTTATTTTGTTCCCCCTTCCCTCCACCCTCCTTTTATTTTGCTGGCATTAGATGCATTTATCTTTGCTCAAGGTGACAAGACAGCTCTGTGTGGGGGAGGGATGGCAGGTCCTCTTTACTCCTTGTATCCCAGGCAAGAGAGCCAAAGCCTGGACACCCGTGATCTAAAGGAGGAGCAGAAATAAGAGAAAGAAAGGAGGAGAGAAATAGAAGTGGAGGAGAGGGCTGCTGCTGCATTTCAGAGGCCCAGTGAAAATACTATAAGTTTCTACAATTGTGCATAGGCCTGGCTTTGCTTTTAATCTACTTTACTTTTCTAAAAATAATTTAAGTGAAGAATGTAGAGAGACAAACTTTCAGTGGAGCCAAGGAAATTATTTGAGTTTGACTTCATTGAATTATGAATGTAGGAGAAATAAATGCTGCAGCAACAACAACAACAAACAAAATTCTAAAGTAATTACTGAAGTATTTCCATCCCCAAACCCATCCCTTCTACTTCAGAGGATTATTTTTTTAATCCAGTTCTATTTTTCTGCAGCAAAAACCTGAGAACATAAATGTGGTGAAATGAAATTCTGTGCACAACAATCTGAAAAATATAAACGGTGGGGGGAAAAGTCCAAGATTTAAAATTATTGAAGCAAACCATCTTGCCTGTGGATTTACAACAGCTCCCAAGTAGAGAGATAATCAGCAGAAATATTTCAGGGACGGCAAGAGTCACAAAGGCAAATCAGCAAACTGGGTAATGCTTTGCAGATTAGAAATATCTTTCTGAATCACAGTTGAAAGCAAAACCATGAAGGCAGGCCTGGCTCTTACTTGAAAAATCATAATCCCATGGTTCCTCTTGCCATGGGGCTGTGACCTGCATGTGTACGGCCTGCCACACCAGCCACAGACCTAAGGCAATTCCAGTTCCCGTGAACACTTAATGAAGTGGCTGATTAAATAAAAGCATCTCCTTTTGGTTAGGCAATACTTTCTGAAGCAGCATGGATTTAGAGGAAGCCCTCTGAGCTCCTGGGAGATAAGCACTCTATAAATACAAGGTTATACTGGAATTAGAGTTGGGGAGATGCTTGCCTCATGTGTGAAATGAGAAACTGGAGGTAGAAACTTTTCAAAATAAACTAAATGGCAGCCTTTTACCTTTTTCATTTCTTCTTATTCAATTTTCTTTCTGCTGAAGCATATTTTTGATAGTGACATCTCTCGGGTCTATATTTACTTCATCATTCTCTGTTTTTAAAATATTCTCCAATTATTGCCACTGAGTAAACTTTTCTAGGTTCTAACAGGTGGCCCAAGGGACAGCTCAAGGTTAAATACATGTACTAGGAAACAACCCATTGTTCCTTTCAACTGACTAAACAGCTTCTATATTTATGATTAATCTTCCAAGTCCGTAATGACCTCAGGTTGATGAAACTTTTACAAGGGTTCATGACCCATTCTGCAGTATCAAAATTCCCCATGAAATTTCAGGCCTTGCACAAAAACAGGCTTACCTTTCTTTCTTCCTTCCTTCACTAGTTGCTTATGACTTCCTTTCTATTCCCCTCCAGATTTCTAAGGCAACTACAATGAGACAAATGAACAACAGGCCCAAACAGTGGCTCACCACTCAGCCATTATATATGTGCAATATTTACCATTTAATTGATGGTCAAAGTTTTCACTGGGATCTCTATGATCCTCACCCAGGCCTGTGTGTGGAGGGGATCCTAGAGATTCTGTAGGTGTTAAGTACTGGTTTTCATTGATAGTGCTGGGTGGCCATTCCTCTCCTTTCACTTAACCAAACCATGGTAAACTGAAACCATGATAGAGTCTTACCTAGACCATTGTCGGACTCTTAGTAGGGTCCATAGAATTTATTATCCACACTGGAACGCATTGCTAATTACTATGCACAAGAAAAAATAAAGAAGAAATTTGAAGTGTTCTGGGAATGCTGGTATATATGGTGACCCTACCAATAATTTCCCCGCTCCAGTCTGTTGTCCCTCAAAATCTCCCCACTCCTGGATATAACAGGCATCTATTATCACTAAGTAGATCAGGCAACTCTTCCTGTTTAAAATCATTTACCAACTATCAATGTCTATTCAACAGTCCTCAAATATGAAATATCTTATATTCTCAGATTCTTACTATTTCTTTATGATTGGAATTTTGGGGGTTACATTTAAAGTTCTAGCAATTGAACACAATTGCCTCAAACACAATAACCTGTTTTAAATCTCCAAACCTCAATAGTTATATGAATCACAAGATACTGAAACTATTTCTTTGCATTCCTCTCTCCTTATGGCCCCAAAATCTTGCCAGTGCTGAGAAGTAGAAGGGACCTGACAACAGACGTGGAATAAAAAATTCCACATTTTGTCCTTTGGTGATTCAAAAGTTGCAATGGACTGACTCCATCCGAAATCCTAAGCTTTTTCCATTGAAGTGAAGTCAGTAGGGATCAGAACATGAAAATTGATTCACAGCATCCTATTAAAACAAACACTACCTTCAGTGATTAGTCTTTTTAAAAAATTGATCCTAACACCTGGCTATAGAAAGGCAGTTTCCATGCTAACACTACTGGTTGAGAAAGAGAAAATTCTGACTCAAACTGGAGGAAAAGTGTTCCACTCAAAAGGCTCAGAAAGCAGCTGGTTGGTTGATAAAGGAAACTTCCTCCTCACTCCATTCCCTTGGTTCCCTCCTTTCTCTTCTTGCCCTTGGTTTCACTGTGCTCAGTCTTCTTCCTGCTACCTCTCTCCTCCTCCCCATTTTTTCTTAATAACCCATACTTCCTACTTACTCCTGACTTGCCAGAACTGCTCCAACCCTTCTGGAGGCAGCGTTGCTCTAGATTTTGAGACTCCACATTGACACATGAGATGCTCCTTCTTCACTGGTTCTTGCTTTGGGCGAGAAGGCTGAGAATTTGACCCTCCCAGTGAAGAATCTACCCTTGAATCCACCCACTGCAGTGACCCCAGAAGCATCCTGGGTCACTCCTTATTTACAAAATGCCAGGCACTAATAAGAGTTTGATGAGTTGGCTCTTTAATTGCTTTTCAAGTCCCAGATGGTTGTGTAGTTATTAGTTATGATAATTTTAAGCAAAAACATCATTTAAAAGAAAATGTCTGAAATAAATCAAGCCTATTATAAGATATGTTGAATTACTGTACATTGAAACCATGTTATTTTTCTTTTACATTCTCAAATCTGGGTCCACTAGAAAGAAAAACCAAGAGTGGAAAATACCAAGATAATGAACTGACTATAATGAAAACTGCAAGATTTTTATTATGCTATTTTTGTAGCAAAACTAATATTTTTAGTCTTTATTTGACATTGGAGGAAAGGGATCTATATAGGAAAAAGCATCATTGATTTCCACAATATTTACCTGAGGATAAAAAGAATAAGGATTTAATTTTTTATATGAGCAATATCTGTTTATGAATAAAATGTCAGTGAAGACACTTGATGAAATTTAAGCTAAATCGGGTATATATCCTCACATAATGCAGGAATACAAGTAAAGAATAAGAAAAGTTCACACGTATCTGTACTAGCAGAATATAATAGGGACATGAGTGAAGTAACAGCATCTTTTTGAAGGCAGGAAAAAAATGGAATTCTCTGACAATGGATGAATAGATATACACTGGAGAGCAGGAGCCTTATGATTACACACCCTTATCTCTCCAGTGTTCACAGGCAATTTGAGAGAATGAATATTTGCCTTCCTAATACAAATACCAGCTAAGGTTGAACTGGACCTTGTGCTGAAGAAACACCTGACCAATTACAATTAATATCTTCAGAGACTCCAGGAAAACAGTCTCCCAGTAAGTTCCATATAATTTGGATATGAGGATTACAGATATAAGCCCAAAATGTCAACTTTCTGAGTGGTACATTTAATTCGCTGCTAATTAACTCTGTGATCTTGGGAAGGTTATTCCACCTGTCTCGTATCAGGTGCCTCATTTGTAAAATGAAAAATTTATTATGTCTCTTTCAGAAGTTTATTGCGGACATCAGATAATAAAATGTATGTTAAATACTGAGCAAAATCACCATCATATACTAAAATCCCACTAAATATTAGTTGTAACAATTTGGTCATTATTGAACATAACTTTCCACATTTTTATGAAAAGTTAACAAAAGGCAAACATATGACAGCAGGCAATTGAAGGACAAAAAAAATGAGGTGATTTGAAAATTGGCGAATTTCTAATGGAAAGTAAAAGCATGTTGCAGGAAAAGGTAAATAGACCAAATGAAAGCAGGAGTAATTCAGGCTGGCGTGGGTGGGAGTGGAAAGTCAGAATCTGAGAGACCCCAAAAGCCAGATTATGAAGCAAAGCTTCATATTCTGACACCGTGGGACCTGGGGCCTCAGTGACCTTGGGCTAAGCAATTCTTTGATATCTCTAAAGGACTGGGCTGACAGAACACTTTTCATTTGCAAACTAACAATCTCATCTCCTCTATCAGGCCACATACTGGAGCCAACATTCCCCTGCCATCAGCATCCCAGGACCAGATAACAGACAAAGCAGGGTGGTCCCTGCACCTCAGAGCCCACTGAAATTACACATCCAATCCCAAATCTGCCTCATCCATTCTTTCTCATGGAAACCACATCTCCCTCTTCACTCCCTCTGCCCCCTGACTTATGCTAGTCCTTCCTTGTGTGCCTTGGCACCAGGTGGTGGTGGTTAATTTTATCTGTCAACTTACTGTGGAAACGGTGCACAGGCAGAGGCCAAATGTTATTCTGGACAGAACCCTGACTGATGCACCTGCTGTCATATCCCCTCCTCTTGGGAACTGGGAATATTCAGCTATCTTTTTATCTTGTTTTTTTGTTGTTGTTTTTTGGTTCTTTTTTTGGTACCAGGGATCGAACTCGGGTCCTTGCGCTTGTGGGGTAGGCGGCAGAACCACTGAGCTAAATCCCTGGCCCCTCAGCTGTCTTTTTAATTGTCTCCTGATCTACATGGTGCACCATACCTGAATTTAACAAAAGGAAATCAAAAGAAAAAGGGAAATATCCATATTTTAAAATACCCAGGTGAAAAAATACAGCTACTTACATTAGGAATGGGCCAGGTAGTAGAAATTTTAAGCAGAGGAGGAATGTGTTGAGAATTAGTCTATAAAGTTTAATTTAATACCATTATGTAGAATCTACTAAAACCGAGATAAATTTTGTTTACTTTTCTTTCCCCTTCCTGACCTTCACTCTTTTCCCTCTGAGTCTAACTTTCTAATCACCATGTGAAGCCCACTTCAAGTACTCTCGTGGAGGCATTTTCCAATCTCCTCAGTCAGAGTGTTTCCTTCCTCTGTGTTCCCATTATGCCTTACTTGCACCACAGTGATGGTACTCACCACAGTTCATCATGGCTAATTGTATACATTTCCATCTCCCTTGCTAAATCTGACTAAATCTTGTTTCTGAGAACAGGACTCAGTCTTAACCACCTTGGTAAGGTCAGCACCTAGCCCAGTGTTCATAATTGTCAATAAAAGCTCAATTGAGCTACTCATGGGCGTAGAGGCAGGGTGTAAGCATAGAAGTGATCGCAATAACCAGCCCCTGAGATGTAGCAATGAAAATTTATCTGATACACAAGATACTGTCAAGGAACTAGAACTGTGCTAAGATGGCAAGACATTTGTCCTATTTGGTTGTTGGGGATTTGAAAGGTACCTCATTCAAATGAGATGTGCTGTAAATATAAAATAATCTTTGAGTTTCAAAGGCATGGTATAAAAATGTACAATACCTCTTTAAAATATTTCACATTGATTCATGTTACAATGATCATCTTTTGGATGCACCTGATTAAATAAAATATATTATTAAAAATTATTTTCCATGTTTCTCTACTTTTTCTAATGTAGCTATCAGAAAACTTAAAACTGCAAACATGGCTTCTATTTCTTTTGGGTGTCTCTGATCTGGAGAACTTAGCAATTAACTGGACATGTAGTGCAGAGGGGAGAAGGAATTCTAATTTTGAGACCAAATTACTAAAGAAAAGGCTGTGCGACAATTAAATAGAGACCTTGGCTTAAGATGTAACTATGTTGAACTTGAGAGCCAGGAGGACCTATCAATCGGACATCTGTAATTGCACAGGTCTCATTTGAAAAGCTCTCAGCAATAAAACAGAAGGAAAAGCAGTAGAAAGTAAGAATGAGATGCTAAGACTATCAGAGCATCAGTCTAGTAGTTCTAACATTACCACAATAGGAATTCTAAAAGGAGAAAACAGCCAGGGTGAGGGGGAAGAAAAAGAAAGAAGGAAAAAGAAACAAACAGGCAAGACTGTAGCCCATGGCTGGAGAGGCAGACTGGCTGCCAGAGCCCATATGCCTGCCGGCCTCACACTGCGGCTCCAACCTGAAAGCTGTCTCCCAGAGGCACCTGGCCCAGGTGCTGGTTTATTCATTTTTCATGACCAGAGGATGAAGAAGTTGGTCCTCTTTCTCCTGTGTTCAGCTCCAGAAGCCCATTTCCCTGGCCAAATCCCTGATGGCCAGCCAGTGTCTGGCTGCAGACCTCACCAGATACAAGATTCTGGCAAATATCAAGTTTCCTTTCTGACTTCCCCAGGGAAGGCTCTTAAAACTGTCAAGGAATCAAACCCAGAGTCTCTCCAAAGATCTTGTTTTCTCCTAGAAATACTGTCCTTCCATTACAGTGACAGATGAGTGTATTTCTGAAGTGTAACGCACATACTTGATAGAACTCTAAAGAAAGACAGGGATACAATTAACACAGAATCAAGACAGTGGTTTGTCTGGGACAGAGCAGAGAGCTGAAGAAGCATAAAATAGGGAATTGCATGCATGGACTAGGAAGATAAGGTTCGATATCATTAAGTAGTATAAATGTGAGTATTTACTTGATTACTGTTTAACTTGTACTCATAGAGTTAGTACATCTTATGAGACATAAACTTTTTAAGAGTATAACCAGCTAAAGTTGATCCCAGTGATATGATTCAACATTAGAAAATTAAATGCTGCCACTCAGTTATTTGAAAATGATGGGAAACTCACTGTTTTTGTTAGATAGGGGCCAAACTCCAAGGAGCACGTTCACTGTTCTGGTGGAAATGGGTGCCAAAATGCAGAGTTCCTAAGGGCTGGTGATGTTGCTCAGTGGTAGAGCATTTGCCTAGCATTTATGAGGCCCTGGGTTCAGTTCCCAGTAATATAAAGAAGAAAAAATAGAATTAAAATGTAAGATATTGGATATGGTAGATTCTATTATTGTTCCAAATATTCATTGTCCATCTCTATGAGAGGATAACGCTTTCCATTCCATGGTTGTCAGGCTTGGCCAGAACTTGCTTTGGCAGTGGAATTCAAGAGTGAGAGGCGTGGGCCACTTTTGAACATAACCATAAAATCACATGATGGCTCTGTTGGTCATGAGGTCGACACAACCCAACTCGTCAGACTGCTGCTCCTCCAATCTGGGGCCCAGAATTGCAGCTGACCAACAAAGATGATCAAGGGAGTAAGAAATAAAACTTCCTTACTGTATGTAGACTGTGGTTGTTTATTAGACGAAGCTACAAAATATGTTACAGCTCAGTGAAGTTTCCAGTGAAGGAAAGGAGAAACCAGAGGTCCAAGAGCAAGTGGGAGAAAGACAGTCCCAGTCTTTTGAGAAGGTCAGAGGTCAGAAGAGCTACTGGTCATGAGAGGTGGTCATGAGGTGAAGAAGTCACTTCAGAGTTAGATTGGCCTTGAAAAGCTAGAAGTCAGAGTTGACTTGCATGGTGGTATTTCCTTCCTGGATGGATGCTCATTGGAACCGTGTACCCAGCTGTCTCTAATAACCACAAATGTTACATATAAATAACATTGGTTTTATATTTACATAATGGAATTGAAGAGACCTCTGGGTTTTTCAGCATCCTGAGTTTGTATAAAGTTCATCTGGCCTTAGAATTACGTTTTGCAACAATATTTTCAGGAAATATTCTCAAAAAGCACTGAAAGTATTTTTCTAGGTAATACGCACTAATTTGTCATGAATCGTTAAAAAAAATCAGAGTTAGTAAGATGTGTGACACTTTCAGGTATATTTAATTCCCTGGATTTTCACAAATTAAATGATAAGATACTTTGTATGAGTAATTTCAAGGAAATAAGTTGCTTGGAAATTGATGTAGTTTAAACTAGATTTGATCACAAGTTTTAGAGGTTTCTGTCAATTGCACTAAATTAGTGACTCAACTGAACTATTCAGATCTTGAGTTTCAGATTCGTTTAAGCTTACACATATACTTAGATTACTATTTTGCTTTGTGCAAAGCATTTTGCATGTTATTTCCTCCCCAAATTCTTCTACAAATCTAAAATTCTAATAATGCAGCATCATCTATGTTAAATTAATAAAAGAAAAATTTTGTTCCATAATCACCCTGGTATGTTGGGGATGTAAGCTCAGTGGCACAGCGCCTGCCTGGCAAGCATGAGGTCCTGAGTTTGATCCCCAATACCAAAACAAACAAATAAGCATAATCACCCCAGTAAAGAGAGGTTCTAAGCCATTTGGGGCTGTGGTTGGACAAAGTCTCCTCCTTCTCCATGTTTCCAATTTGCTTTGCCTTATGATCTTTCCATTTGGGGGAGGAAGTGGTGGAGGAATAGGCATCATGTAGCTGTCAATGTTCTGAAGTTGATATGGATTTATTTTCTGTGATTTTTCCGTGGAGCTCCTGAACTTCTTCATTGCCTTCATGCCCTGTAATCACATTTTGTAGTGTAAGAACCACTGAAGCTGTGGCAGGAACCCAATGTAACCCGATAGTTAATAAAACAAGCTTGTATGATTGATACTGCAAACATGAACAACTGATATTACTAAACAACTCCGCCTGCTGAAAAATGGCATAGAAAATTGAATATTCATATATTTTTAACTTATGTAGCATAGTTTCAGCCTACATACAGTGATGATAGTTTTATAGCACTTTTAGGATTTTTCCCATAGAAATTCATCAAATTTCTGGGGAATAGAGTACAAGTAAATGATTTAAAATCAAGAAGTATGTAATGGGGCCGGGGATTTAGTTCAGTGGTTTTGCCACCTGCTGCACAAGCACAAGGACCCAAGTTCAATCCCCAGTTCCAAAAAAAAAAAGAAGTATGTAATGTTGTAAGATTAGATAGAACACTCAGCAACATGTAGTTAGTACTGTTTTTTACATACTGATTATACATATCCAGAAATAAAAATACTAGTGTTAGCAAGGCAGTGAACAAATGGCAATCTCATGCACTATTTGAGTAAATTACTTCAATCTTTGTGGAGGAGAAATGGGGATATATATAAAAATTTTAAGGTGCCTATATTTTGAGCTAGAAAGTCTACTGGTAGGTAGAAATCCTACACACATAACTACCCAAGTACACTAATATAAATGTGATCAATAGGAAGATATTTAATTAAGTTTTGGTTTGTTTGTTTGTATAAAAGATTCACACCAGGCTATAAAGAGAAAGATGGGAACCTCTTTATCCTAGCATAAAATAATAAACATGGCCTGGTCATACATTTCTTTTAAGTAACTTATATTTGGATTTTGATTTAATACAATATAACCAGAAGAACTTGACTATGGAGTTGCCAATGGGGATATACCTCATGTTTCTTTATTTAGCATTTATTACCTTAACCAATTCCTATAATTAATAACTGTATTATGTTTATCAGATAAACATGATTCTATAAATTTTCACAAACTGATAACTTTTGTGTATCTGAGGTAGTTTTTCAAACTTTAAGGATTATTTAAGGATTTTTGACCGTTTTTTACCAATTTATTTGTTTTTATATTTATTTTTCTATAATATAAATTTATATCATATTTACTTTTTTTATAATTTAAGTCAAGTTTGACCTTCCTTTGAGATGTTTGATCATGAAAAGTTATTTTTAAGACAGGAAAGTTATAATCCAAACATTTTAATTACTAATTAAGTAAATAGGCTAAATAAGTAAAAATAGTTTAAATTTATAGCCCAAATTATGATAGAAAACATTTATGTGAATGGAAGGGGATTTAAATAGATTAGTCACCAAGAAGTTTACTATTGTGAAAACTGTTGACATTGCATGGTGTTATGTCCTTATTTTTCATTTCTTACATTTTCTATAATAGGCTGCATCTATGTTGGAATTAAGTAAAACAATAGGAACAATAAAGTCATTGAATTTTGATCTCTTGTGGCTTGGAGATTTTCTAAATGTATTTCTGACTAGGTATTAGTGAATTTCTGACTAGCTATTATAGAATTGCATGGCTTGTTTGGAAATGACTTAATAATTTTTTAAAAATTAATATGCTTTTCTTTGCTTATTAAGCTCATGGCATCTTGGATACCATTCCATGCTATTACTGATAATTCTACAATATTTTTTAAATGTACTTTAGTGTTCTATAATGTTTTCAAATAATATTCTTACATACTGAAGATTCTTCCAATTGTTCACTATGGCAAATAGGACAGTACAAAATACTCTTGAATCTATTTTTGTATATATGTGTGGATTCCTTAAATAAACTCCTATATGTCAAAATGCTGGAGCACATCTATTTATATTGATAGATATTCTCAATATTTCCTTTACAAATAGCTGTACTAATTTCTACCGATACCAACACTGTAAGAGAAATTCTCATTCTGAGGTTATTCATGTTTAGTCATGTGACTATTTTTACTTGCATCTGAACCAATCTGGTTTTTACCAAGTCATTTTCACCTAGAAACCCTTACTCTTGCTACTAAGCAATAGTCAGCCTGTTTTTATCTATTGCACCTACAAATACTTCCTTTAAAAAGGAATAAGAATGTGCTAGGTACTCATGACATACTTAGCAATCATTCAGATATTTATTATACTTCAATTTCTAGTCTGATTTTATATCAAAACATTTTCATCATCAATGCCACAGGAAAAGAATAGCAAGTCTTTTCTCACAGTACCTTTTGCTTATGTGCATTACATTATAAACTCCAGTAAGTTACTTATGTCTGCCTTGATAACTGATATATCACCAATTGCTAGATCAGTACCTAACCCATAGTAAGAGCCCAAAAAATACATACTGAATGAAAAGTGAGTTTAGCTACTTCAAACTAACATGGAATTGATCTCAATTTTGTCAGTACTTACGAGGCACCATTAAATGCTAATCATTCAATAACCCTCACTCCAAAACTTGGAAACAAGAAAATAAATCCCTATGTAGATTTAGTAGCAAATCTATACAGTGGCTTAGAGTAGATTTAGAAAATCAACTGAAAAGAAAACACAAATCACTCCCTACCCAAGAGATCTCGGTTATTATTATTAAGTTGATAATACTGACATATCCAAAAACAAAATGTACCACTCGAAGTAAAATTAATAATTATTGGAGCTTAGAAAAAAATATAATCACCTTGGCAAATGTGGAAAGCACTCATCCGAGTACTAGCTAAGGAAAAGGAAATTCTACCCATTGGACTTTGAGTATTTCTAGTCCTAATGGCAAAGTTATCCCTGGAAGACACAGGATGTCTTTGAGTTTTCTGGTCCTTTAGGCAAGCCCATTCCCAAGAGGAGACGGGTGCCTCCAAAGACATCCAAGCCTGGTCCTGTTAACATTCCGGTCATTACACCACATCTCCTCATTCTGATTCCATGTTCACCAGGCAACCTTCTCACTGTGACCCAGCCTCCCATGTAGCTCGGCGTACAAGGGAGGCACTTAGATGAGCTTAACTGTTTGATAGCTCTTGAATCAGTGGTCCCTATTTTGATTTTCTAGAGACAGAAAAATGACCTTGTTGTTAGTTATTTTACAGAGCTTGAGACAACCTTCTTGGACCAGACCATTCTTGAACACTGGCTGAAATGGTAAATCTGTGTCGAGGCCTTTGATTGAAGACTCGATGCTAGAAAGTGCCAAACTAATTAACTTATGACTCAAAAAATTCCTGTGTAGCTCTAAGCAGTCTTCTACAGGCAAAGAGCCACCACTTTTGGATTAATTTTTCTTGCTTTCTAAATTTATGGTTTATGAAAAGTGTTACACAAGCTAAAAAGCATATGAAATGAATTAAAGTATTAGTTATTCTTTTTAGAGTTATATTTAGACTTTTACAAGCACAATCATTTATTTACAAGCACAATCTTTTTTTTATCTGAATTAATGTCCTAGTGTTAAGGTTATCTGTGAACTAAAGATTAAAATATTGTATCCTTAATTTCACATGTCTAATGTTTCCTAATAAGGAATAGACCATAATTCATCCCTTTCCAAATAATGACAATTATACTTATGACACAGGTTCCTTCTGTAGCAGGCAAATGTTTCTTCTTCATGTTAGAAACACAAACAAAATCTGCCCTAGTTAGTGATGTCCTAATTATTCCTCCCTGCTTAAGTAACTTATATTTCACAGTTACCGTACCTTCTTCTGGTGCTGTATTTAAATAAGTGAGAATTGCCTGGGACATAACCTTGAAAGGGAAGCAGAGTTGAGCTTCTGGATGTGATCAACTCAGCATTTTTTAAAGATGGACATTCTTCTCCTTCTATATTCAACCAGAGTCAAACTTGAAGCAATTTCATACACTGATGGAAAAGTAAGTCAGCATGCAAATGCAAACCTATTCTTAGACATTTTCATTTTCTAGATTTCATGCATTTAAAATCTGGAGAGTTAACACTGGGTCATTTCTGATAGAAGTCATGTATGGCTATAAGATCTTTCCTCTTTGTTTTTTTTTTGCTTAAATTCTTTTATTGGTACATTTTAGGTATACAATACGTTTACCTTTATCATTGGGTGCTTGTATCTGTACATGATGATTCTTGGTTCTTATTTTTTTCCCGTTACCTGTGCGCCCTTCACCCCCTCCACCCTTCCCTATTTACATAGATTTCATATCCACTTTTTTTCTTTTCTCGTAATTTTTCCTTTCTCTTCTTTCCTTTCCCCTTCCCCTCCCACCACCCTTACTCCTTTGGACTTTTTCCTGTTTCAAATTATCAATTATTTATTTTAATCATTTTAATCCTTATTTACACTTTCAGCTTCTCACACTAGAGAAACTATTTGGTATCTACATATGTGTGTCCTATTTATTTCACTTAAGAGTATGGCCTCAATATGCATCCATTTAGCTGTAAATGTCTCTAGTTTCTCGTTCTTTATGGCTGAATAGTACTCCATTTTATAAAAAAAAAAAAACACCACATCTTCTTTATCCAGTTTCCAGTTGTTGAGCACTTGGTCCTCTTTGTTTTTTTAATCAGCCTTTCAACTTAATAATAAATCACCATAAATTATTACAAATCAATTCTTTATGCTTTCTACTCAATAACAGATTATCTAGGTCTTCCTGTTAGAGTAAGACATAATTCATCAGAAGTACACAGTAAATTCTTAATAAACACACAGCATAAAATTCAACAAGTGGATAAATTGAACAGAACATCTTAGACTGTGATGAACCTAATACTCTGATCAAGAATAAAAGTGCTTCTTAAAAAATAAGATTTACCCTAATAGAAAATGGAGCTTCATTTTCCAGCAGTGAAGTTTTTGATCTGGATCCCAAGGTTAGCTTTGGAATAATCCCCACTGCAGGATTACTGGGAAGAGGCTGTAATCTAACTGGAGGCTGCATATTTCCTGGGGCGGTGTATGGTCGAAGGGCTGTCTAGACAATTAGGGGAAAAAATTCCATTTAAATTAGTATCTTGACATGTTTCCAGAACCAATTAATAACGTAACAAATTGCCTAGAGTAATTAATGGTGCCTTTTTACTGAACAGATTAAACTATAATTATGTCCTTCCATTATACATACCCTCATGACCCAAAGTATTTGCTAAAACATATGGTGTTGAAGTCCTCTACATAACTAAATGCCACAATTATAGAATCTTGTAGACAAAGGAGATGTCCTCTATTACATTCCTGTATTTTTATTCATACTGTGAACTCACTGACAATACTTAATTTATACTGTGCATAGAATGGCTTTGCTCATTAAATGTTAAGTTGAATAATGTTCCTGTTTTAGACATCTAAAAGGATATTGTAATGGACTCATTTCTGTTTCAATGTTTTCAATATAAATTCTACTCTGAATCCTTTAAGCCTTAAGATTGGTGCTGAAGTAAAAGCAGACAATAGGGAAGGCAGATGCTTAACTAAAATGTATTACCATTTATTCAACTGCTTCCTTGATATATTAAGAAAAAAATAAAAAATTGTAACTAGCAACTATTTTCCATTTGTCCCTGTAGGCCTCCTGTTCACCTTCCTGGCCTTGCTTTGGGAGTCATCCCTTTAGGAATTTACCAGCTAACCTCAAAATTGCAGTTGGATTCTACCAAAGAGGACAGGATGACAATGAAATCAAACCCCTCCCTGTGGGCTATACGAGTCCCTTTACCTAAGTCCACTGTTGCTATTGGGAAGCCTTCTCCCAGTCACAGGAGATATCTACTGATTGGAGAATCCAATCCCTGTCCTTCCCTCTTAACCCTAGGGGCTGTGGATTTTCACTGTCCTGACCCCAGCATGCTTAACACCCCTGGTTAGTTTTCCTTAACCCAGCCTGCATCTTTGTAAATAGTTTCTTCATTGAACACTTTCTAATTACTCTATTTGTGTGACCCATCTGTTTTCTGCTGAGCCCCCAACTGAGACATTTTCCAATCAAGGATGCATTGCAGTGAATACCAAAAGTGCCAGCATCAGAAGTGTCTTTTGGGGGCATCAACAAAATATTGTAAGTTTAGTACAAAGATTAGCAATGTGTCAAAAGTGAGGAAAGAAATGAGGCTTTTGACCTAGTTGTTCTATTACAATAAGATAATAGAAAACTTGCCAAAAATATGACATGCGTATTTGGCTAAGAGGGCATGAGAAGGATGATATATAAGTCATTCATGAACAAAGCATTGTATATCAACTCAAAAGAATGATAAGCAACAAATATTCAATTCTGGAAAAGTGTGTAAATACACTTTAAAATGTTGATAAAGTAGCTTGTACTCTCAAATATTAGTACCATCTTGAGAAACATGTTATCCATTGTTAAATCTTGATTTTTTAATTCAACATCTACTGAATTCCCACCATAGAACTGGTAAGGAGATAAAAAGAAATTAAAACTGAATACAAGAAAGTTAAGGTCAAATGAACCATGCAAATACCACCAAAAAGACAACAAAACTCAGAATTTGATGACAAAACTCAGAATTAAATTCCTTAGAATATTAGTACTTTAGTAAGCCAGTTCAGGTAACAAAAATTTAAGCTTCACAAACACAGATTTTATCCAAGTGGTTAAGCATGAGAAGACAATGGACAATCAGAGAAGAACGGTAAATTTGAACACCAAAGGACAGCCATTTGTAAGCAGCAAAGATAATACCACATTATTGATTTTTCTTCTTCACTAGTAATAGAATTTTTTGTCTGGGATTATGGCTATCTTAAATAAGGATTGTATTTCTCAGAATGCCTTCCAACTTGTGCAGGATGTTAGCCTCTGTGTTGACCAATGAGAGATGAGGAGTGATACATGAAACTTCTCATCCAGGAGACCTTGAGGACATCCGGTCCCTGCCACGCTGCCTCTGGGCTCTTGGCTGTGCAGCTACCTACTTCTACACTACAGAGGCATAGGAGGACCTAAAGGCCATTGTCCTGAGTTGCAGAAGTGAACAACAGAGAGAGGGTCTCTCTCAGGCACCCTGATGAAAACTGAAGCCCACTGGAAAAGTGAAGAGAATCTCTGCAATATAGGCATGCCAGAACACCGTACTTGGTAAGTTGGAGGGTTCATCACCTCCCATTTGAACCTGGACTGTTTTCAGGGGAGGGACAGCTGGAACCTATAGTGGAACTTTGTGTAGTTCAGCCCTGCAGGAGGACAGGTAGCTCATTTGGGGACTTGCAGCCAGAGGTCTGTCTGGGTCTTGCGGGTCTTTGGCTGGCTTACTGAGACTCATTGGCTTTTAACTGACAGTACCAAAAACAAAAATGAAAAGATGTTTAATCAAGTCACAAACCCAGACTTCTACCCCACAAAAGGCAATTTCTGGGGAAAACGAGGTGGAAAAGTCTGATAATCAACCACCTGGACACCCTGAACTGATAGCACAGGAAGTAACAAAACAGATGAATGAGGCTCTAGAAAAATTCAAAGCAGAAATAATCTCCCACATAACTACAGAGATGGTGAGCAGAATGAAAGACATGATTAGAGGCTCTAGAACAGGAAGTGATTAAAAAAAAATAGTTGAGCTTAGAATCATGCTGGAAACCATGAATGCCCAGCATAAGAAAGAAATAGAAACCATGATTGCTCAACATAAGAAAGAAATGGTATCCATGAAACAGATTCAAACAGATATTCAGAAGACTAAAAACTCCATTGAAACCATGGACAGCAGATTAAGGGAATCTGAAGATAGAATATCAGATATAGAAGACAGGATTGCAGTTAAGGACCAGGAAAACAGGGATTTCTTAAAAATAGTAAGGCACCATGAGAAATCAATCCAGCAGCTGCTAGATGATGCAAAGAAGAATAACATAAGACTGATAGGAGTCCATGAAAAAACAGGAGAAAATATAATTGACATAAAAAAAACTGTTCACAGAAGTAATAGTAGAAAACTTCCCAGACAGAGGTGGAGAACTGAACATACAGATAAGTGAGGCATATAGAACTCCAATTAGCCATTATCCAAAAAAATCTATGCCTAGACACATAATAATCAAGATCCCAGAAACCCAACAGAAGAACAAAATCCTGCAGGCAGTTAGAGAAAAGAAACAAATCACCTATAAAGGAAAGCCTATCAGAATCACAGCAGATTTTTCAACACAAACCCTTAAGTCAGAGAGCCTGGAGTCAAGTATTTCAAGCCCTAAAAGAAAATAAATTCCAACCTAGACTGTTGTATCCTGCAAAATTATCTTTCAAAATCGATGGGGAAATTAGATACTTTCCCAACAAAGAACACCTGAGAAATTTCATGAATACCAAACCAGCACACCAAAAAATCCTAAGCAATATCCTAGAAAAAGACAATGAAGATCACAAAGCCACCAGGCAAGGTAAAAAAATAAAGGGAAAGGGGGAAAAAAAAGAAATAAAAGAGCCACCAATAGCAAAACATCACAAAAAGGATGAGTCAATATCTACAATTATAACTATCAATGTTAATGGTCTCAATTCATCAATCAAAAGAAATAGACTGACAGAATGAATTAAGAAGCAAAATCCAACAATATGCTATATTCAAGAAACACACCTAACTCAAAAAAAAAAATACATAGACTGAAAGTAAAAGGATGGAAAACAGTTCTCCAACCCACAGGAACCCAGAAAAAAGCAGGGGTAGCAATTTTATTTGCAGACAAAATAGATTTCAAACCAAAAGTAATTAAGAGAGCCAAAGATGGTCACTACATCCTTGTGAAGAGAACAATCCAAGAGGAAGAGATGACAATCCTAAATATATATGCACCAAATACGAATACCCCCAACTACACAAAACAAATATTAATGGACATGAAAAACCAAATAAGCGCTAATACAGTTGTAGTGGGGGACCTCAATACCCCACTATCACAAGTAGACAGACCATCTAGACAGAAAATTAACAACAAAATTCTAGAACTGAACCAAGCTATTGAACAAACGGACTTAATAGATGTTTACAGAGTGTTCCACCCCACAAAAT